ATATTAGCATCAGGGATCTCAAGAAAACTTTTAAATCATAACATAAGGTGACACGTTTTTTTTTCTTCAAAATTTCTTAAAAATCCAAAGTTTAGGACCCATATACAGTCCGAGTGTTTAAAACCGAAGGCTCTGATACCACCAAATGTAACCCCCCAGACCCGGTCTGTAAGTTAAACCCAAACCTAAGTGGTCACATGTCCCATTCAGAGTTTTTTTATATATATATCTTACAATACATTATAATAATAATACAGATATATCCAAAAACGATAACAAATACATGTCACCAGATACAGCGAAAAACATATAGAGATATATGTTCGTACAAAATAAGTAGTTGATCTCCCTTATGCCAAATCTGATAATTTACGGTCTGCTGTTATCTGAAAAAGGGTAAAAACTATAGAATGAGCGAAAAGCCCAGTGTGTTCCATACAGTGTAAATAAAAACATACTGATAAAAATATTCCAGTAAAGTCGGTTTATATAATCATGTCGTTAAAAAAAATATATGAACACTACCCCCAGCCCATCACATCAGAATGTGTAGGTTCCCCAGAACCATACACCAATCCCACACATCAAATAAGGCCCTGAGCACAAAGCCGAGGAACCTGCGGATATACTTCCTTCAACAATACCCCTCCAATGATTGTTCATGAATGTATTTGAATGAAAACAATGATTAATTCTTTAAAACATAAAAGTGTTCATGCTTAAAAATCATATACAGTAATACAGAAATCAGAAGACAAATTAGTAGTATACAGAATTTCAGATATCGAATAATCAATATTCAAAAAATTGGTATAAAATATCGTAACCAGAGATCATATCAGAAATATGCGGTAAATCAGATACATAATGTTCAGATATATATTTTAAAACAGAAATAATTAACACTGTCGGGAAACACACCTGTAACAGTCTGAGAAATTAGATTGGGAAGCTTATTACTGGGTTTGTCGATCACGTTCTGCTGCAGCGCTAGATCCTACGAATTGGAAAAATCCATATTGGAATCCTAATATAAATAATCTAAATATTATTTAAATAATATACGGAAACCTACGGGTAATTCTCGTAGTACGCAGTTCAGGCTGATCTAACGAACGGATAACACCGGACCTAATTGATTCTTGCTCAGGTGAAACACGAGTACATTCATAAAATATTTTTATTGAATAAATCCTTGACCAAATCTCAATTAAATAATCAAAATATTAAAATATTAAGCCTTTTGGGTTTACAAGCTCGATTCGGGAATTTTGGGTCAGAATTTGGCAAAACGGACTTCGGAATCAGATTCAGGACGTCGAAAAACATAAAGTATGACTTTCTGAAAATTTGAATTCTTGGTCAAAATCAAAGTCAACGGGTTTGACTGACGATTTGGAGACTTTCAGGTTCGAATTTGGTGAAATGGACCCCAAAAACGGATTCGAGATGTCGAAAACTGTCAGGATAGGTATTCTCGGAAAAGATTAACGATAGTTTAATAGCCGGTCAAAGCCGATCAAAGTTCTGGTCAAATGAGGTCAACAAACTGTTAACCATTTTACAGAAATAGCACCCCTTTTAGAATTAATTCCCAGAATAGGTGAAACACGAGTACCTTCATAAAATATTTTTATTGAATAAATCCTTGACCAAATCTCAATTAAATAATCAAAATATTAAAATATTAAGCCTTATGTGTTTACAAGCTCGATTCGGGAATTTCGGGTCAGAATTTGGCAAAACGGACTTCGGAATCAGATTCAGGACGTCGAAAAACATAAAGTATGACTTTCTGAAAATTTGAATTCTTGGTCAAAATCAAAGTCAACGGGTTTGACTGACGATTTGGAGACTTTCAGGTTCGAATTTGGTGAAACAGACCCCAAAAACGGATTCGGGACGTCAAAAATTGTCAGGATAGGTATTCTCGGAAAAGATTAACGATAGTTTAATAGCCGGTCAAAGCCGGTCAAAGTTCTGGTCAAATGAGGTCAACAAACTGTCAACCATTTTACAGAAATAGCACCCCTTTTCGAATTAATTCCCAGAATATCACCAAAATTGAATAAATTCCCAGAATAGCACTGGTCAACGGTCAACGGGTCAAGTCGGTCAACGGGTCGGGTAGGGTCGGGTTAACGGGTCGGGTCAACGGGTCGGGTCGTGACCGGTCAAACCGGTCAAAACCGGTTAAACCGGTTTCCAGCTTTCACTCGCCCTGCGGCGGCGCGTGTGGGCACGTGAGGTGTCCTCCGGGGCTCTAAAAGTCACTGACAAATTTCTAAAAATTATTTTGAGCGATTTCGAGATACTTACAAAGATCGGTTCAAATTTTTGAACGGTGGAGAGCTTGATTTCATCAAATCGGAAACTTTGACCGCTTCACCTCCCCACGCGCCGCCGTCGACGGAGACCTAGGGTGACACCGGCGGACTTGGAACGGCACAAGGAACACGATGGTGCAGGAGGTGTTGTAAACGGAGCAACGATCGACGATGAATTTAGGATTTTCTAGGCGATTGAGCTAAAAAAACGTCGATGCTTTGACTTGAAATTCACGACGTTTGGCAGCGTTTTGCTTCAATTAAATTAAGGGGATTGTTCCTGACTCGATAACGAACACGATGGTGCTTTCAAAACGGCGATCGGAAATCGGACGGCGTCAGGATCGTCGTCGGAAGTTGAGGTTGGGAGAGGGAATTTGGGAGGAATTGGTTTCTGATTTCCAGAAACCAACTCCCGTAATATACACCAAACTTATCTACTTTTCTTGGGCAAATTCAGGGCTTGGTCCCTGAATTTTTTTTAACTCTAAAACAAGCTACAAGTTTTAAAATCTTTCAATTTAGTCCCCAAAAATTTACCAATTTTCACAATTAAAACCTCAATTCCCAATTAAATATTATTTTGAAATTTTTGGGTTGTTACACATATACAGAGGTCCTTCGGGAAAAATACATAGGTCATTCGGGATAAATTTCACATGCTCCTAGTGGGACCCCATACGAGCTGTAGTGACAGTATTAGTGCACAACCTCAATGAACTCACATACCTTAAGTTCTCACAGGTGTACATGGGCTAATAAAGAGATTAAACAAATATACTGAATGTGATATGTATATGTGATTTGATATATGGAATAAATTACAGGATTCATGTATTGGTGTATTGCTTGGTTAATGCATGATATATTGATATTGATAATGATATATGTATATGTGTATTAGTTATATGAAATGATATATGTTTTTAGTTATATGAACTGTATTTCTTTATGAAATGATATATGATGTGTATAAATGATAAGTATATAGATATATGATAAAAGGTATTAATGATAATAATAGGATAATGATAAGGAATAAGATAATCATATATGTACATGTGTGAACTTAATATATGAATGGAAATATGATTGTGTATAATATGATAGTAGTAATTGTTCATGCATGATTATAAGTTAGAGTTTTTATTATATGTTTTATATGCCTCACTAAGTCAACGACTTAGCATGTGATTGTTTCACACGTAGGTTTCGAGAAGAGGAAGATTGATAAAAGTTATGCAAGACATGTCAGTTTCTCCTTTCCAAAGATCAAATCAAAAGAGAATTGAATAATATGCATTTTGTAATAATGATAGTGGTTGGCATGTAAATAAAGATTTGAATCCGATATGTTTTAATCGGTTTTATAAAATTCATATAAATGAGTTTTGTAATGTTTTAAACGTATATATGTAAACGGTAAATATTTAGCGACGAAAGGTTAATTTTTAAGAGTTTATGTATGTTTTACGGAAGTATTGTAGCAGTACTGTATCGGTATCCTGTAGCATGGTATCGATACCATAGCAACAATCTGGTAAAATTTTAGCATTCGGTACTGTTCACGGTATTGTTCATTACTGTTCACGGTAATGTTCATTAATGTTCACAGTATTGTTCATTAATGTTCACGGTAATGTTCATTAATGTTCACAGTATTGTTCATTAATGTTCACGGTAATGTTCATGAAAACGTTTTTTTTTCTTCAAATTTGTTATAACGAACATAATTCAACAATATATGATCTTTTTTTTATTAATATAAGTTCAAACGTTTGGTTATTTTGTAAGAACATCGTTTTAAAAAATCAATATGACATCTCAGACTCGTATCCGGGTCGGGTACGGGTTGGGGGTGTTACATTATTATAGGATAAAAGGTTTCATATTTAGAGTGTTTATCGTTTGTTAACTAACAATTTCTATCAACAGAGGGACCTTTTTGACTCAAAAATAAAACATTAGAAGTCAAAATGCTAAAATAAAGATCAAAATGAATATTTAATCAAACATTGGAGACATATTTTGTCATTATATCTTTAAAAATGGTATAATATCAGAAAACACCCATGATGTTTGATTAAATATTCACTTTGGTGTCTATTATTTTTTTAACATTTTAATAAAAAGGCCACTAACATTTGTTTAAGCAATCATTTTGGTCATATTCTTTCTTTTTGGAGCATTTTAGCCATTAACATTTTATTATAGGTTAAAAAAACTCTTATTTTAGAGGGTTAATCATTTGTTGACTAACAATTTCCATCCACATGAGTTTTTTTATCCTAAAATAAAATGTTAGTGGTTAAAATGTTAAAAATAGAGATTAAAATGACTATTTAATAAAATTTTAAAAGTGTTTTGTTACTAAAAGAAATAAATGAAAGCTTACATTTTATAAAGCAATGGTTAATAGATTGATATTTGAATAAAAAACAACAAATTAGCAGCAACCAGCAAGCAAGGTACTAGATAAGCCCAATTAATTTGGTCCAAAACGAACAAGGAAGGCCCAGTTGTCTACCTTCCTAAGGTCCCGCCACCTGGCACTTCAAACCCTCCTTAAAATCCCAACGGCTCAGATCAAAACCACAGTGAAAAATTTAACGGCTCAGCTTCACTTCCAGTTCCACGTAACCCAAAGAATAAAACCCGCCACGCCCTGTTGCCCTAGCTTTCCTTTCTCCGATTTGTTCTCTATCCTTCGTCCGTCTCTCACGAAAAAAATATTGAAAAAGAGAGAGAAACTCCGAAGAACTTTGTAAAAAAACCTTCTTAAATTTACTAAAATCACTCCTAATTGTTGATTCTGGAACTCGCCTCAGAAGACGACGCCGTCTTCTCCTTCTTCTGGTACGTGTCCAACCATTTCCTTGTTTTCTCTCTACATCAATTTATCCAATTTAGGGTTTTGGTCTGTTAAAACTGTTTAAGATTTGGTTATCGATTTATGTTCAAGTTTGAGGTTTATAGAATGAACTGTTTTACCTTGTTCTTAATTGCTATTAACCAGGTTTGGTTCTAGCCTTTCCCGGCGATAAACAACTTTATTCTTCCTACAAATTAGTATTAATTATAAATTCAGTTAAGTTAATGTTACTTTTCTGTTATTTCACGATCATTTCTCTAAAAACTAAAGTTCTCTTCCTGTATGTTTGTTGTGTGTTGGAATTAGTAAAAATTAGGAATTTATTAGTGAAAAACATGCCTAGTTAAATCTTTTGTTATTTCATTTTGATTTACATTAGCTTTGTGCTTATCTCCAATGATTTTATGTAGATTTTTTTTTTGTTGATTTTGGGTTGGTATTGTTTTCATGTAAAATAATGCATGAAATACTTCTCTTGGTTGTTAGTTTGAGTTTGCATACTCCAGATCAAAGTTTCTGAGCTCAAATGGGAGATAGTGAAGCAGTAGCTGCAGACTCATCAGCAATGAGGGATTATACTTTAGCTGCTTATAATTCTATTGGTTCTGGTGCTTACTCCTCTGAGGTTACAGCAGATCCTACTGCTTCTGGTGGTGACCCAAATTCTGCTGGTGAACAAGGTCAAATCAGTGTAATATATGACAGTAAGCCTGCTGGTGGATCAACAGATGAGAATGCTCTTGCAGTTGGAAATACTGCAGCAGATGAATCAAAAGCTGCTGGTTCTAATTATCCTTTAAATGGAAATGCTGTTAGTGAAGCAGGAAATGCAACAACAGTTGAGAATGGAGGTGTTTTTGATACTGTAGGTGGAGTTTCATCTGTACCTGAGTTTGTGGATGGATCTGGTATGTTTTTCTCTGGCATGTTTGTACATGTAGCTTCACAAGGTACTTCTATTATTTATGTTAGTGTTGAAGGGTGCATTATGTAATGTGAATTGCAAACCTGCTCAATGGTAACCTTAACTCATTCTCTACATGAAAATCAATTGTTGTTAGGGAATAATCTTTATTTCCACGTATAATTCTAAACTGAATTTTTTTTATTGTCTTTGTGCTATGTTCTCACCTGCAATAAAGAAACAAAGAAGTTGGCTTAGCAAATGAATTTTATATTTCGTTTCATTTTTTTGCTATTTGTATCTCAAATTTGCAAGCCTAGAGTATGCCATAATTCTTAGAAGCTCTAATAGCAAGAGAACGGCCTTACTCCCTGGCACTCTTCTATGAGGCTTTGTTCCTGATCAACTTGACTTGGATCATTGTTCTTGGGACCTCTGCAGTATACTCTTAGTTTTTGACTAAAAACAACTTATTCAACATTATACCTTCCCTTCTTAGTATTGTTATTATAGTATTTAAATTTTAGTGAATCTGAAACTCACTTGCTTTTTTTTCTCACTTCTAGCACCAACTCTGTCTGGTGAAGAGGAACGTTTGTGGAGTATTGTGAGAGCTAATTCGTTGGATTTTAATGCTTGGACTACATTGATCGAGGAAACAGAGAAGCTTGCAGGGGTATGTGAGCATGAACTTTTGTTGGATGGGGGATAAGTGAACAAACACTGTAGGCTTCTAAATGTTGGAAATTTTGTTAGCTAGTTATATGTTTCATGGATTTAAATTGAGGCTGTGCGTGTGTTTTAGGTCACAGACGTAATGGATTCTTATTATGGTTAATTACATTAAATATTGCGATGAATATTTGCGGCTGAGAGACAAGACTGCAGAATAGCAACTGTGATACTAGATTGCCACTGCTATTTAAATCAGTGATATGTTGCCAATTTGGGTGGGTGGGTAGGAGATGGGGAAAGGAAAGTAAAATAATCATAAGATGTGAAATTATTCGTTTACCCTCTTAATCTTTACATAAGTAATTTTATAATAAGTATATAACTGAAAGGTCATTATAAATTATAATCGATCTTTGTCTTTCCTTTCCACTGTTTAACCAAGCAAAGATTGCAAAAACTCTTTCTCTTTCCTTTTTCTTACTAATTTTAATCATCCAAACAAAAAACACATATGCCAATATGCATATATCAATTCCTTTCCTTTACCCTCCTTTCCTTTCTTTTTCCTTTATAATTGTTTTCCAAATATAGTAAAATGAATATAATCCGGGGAGGGACTGGAGGGCCACCTTAGTAACTTTGAGAAAATTGATGTAATTTTGTTTAAAGGTTTCTTTAGTGGGGTTTGAGGGAAGATCACTCATCTCTGTGTTATTTTATATTTTCTTTTTCCTCTTCGCTTCTAATAATCACCCCAAACTTGGTGGTTTCCGTGTGTATGAACTCCTGATGTTCATTATTTTTCTACGTTTTTTGTCTTGTTTGCCAACTGATGTTTTTGTCTATATCTGCTTGCAGAACAATATCATGAAAATTCGAAAGGTTTATGATGCCTTCTTGGCCGAGTTTCCTTTGTGCTATGGTTATTGGAAAAAGTATGCGGATCATGAAGCACGCATAGGCTCCATGGACAAAGTTGTAGAAGTCTATGAAAGGGCAGTTCAGGGAGTGACATATTCTGTGGATATTTGGGTCCTATATTGTGCTTTTGCCGTTGAAACATATGGAGATCAAGAAACCATCCGAAGGTAATACATGCTAATGTGTGTTGTTCTTCCTGGTTTCCATTAGGTCTTGATTGTCTGCTTTTATCAGATATGAGAATCTGCTGATTGTTGTTGCTTTCTAATATAATTTTGGTATGCATTCAACTGCGAGTCCTATTCATGGAAAAAAGGCTGGATAGGGATGTACTTTTTGAAGTCTTTTTCTCCTGTTTATTCCCTTGTTTGTGAGTCTAATGTAACAATTTTAGGATATTGACTATGTTCCTGAGCTCTTTAGACTTCCTATTACTATTACTCTTTGAAGCCCATATCATAGTAATGTAATCATCTATGAATTATTACTTTAACTTTGACAAGTTGAGTTGCATCAATATGGAAAATGCTGCTGGAAGATATCATCCCTTAAAGGTCTAGATGGTCTCTAATCTATCATTGCTTTATCTTGGACATTTGATTTTTATCTGGAAGATAAATGCAGCTTCTTTACATGTCTAGAGTGAATTGTTCCTTCTGCTTCGACATTGCTTCCACTGTCTTATGTATGTAGACGTGCTTGCATTGCCTGTATGGTCTTTGTTGTACCTGATAATTATTCTGTTTCATGATGTTTCAGGCTTTTTGAACGAGGATTAGCATATGTTGGAACTGATTATCAATCTTTCCCTCTTTGGGATAAATACATTGAATATGAATACATGCACCAGGAGTGGAGTCGTCTTGCTGCTATTTATACTAGAATATTAGAGAACCCTAATCAACAGCTAGATAGGTATTTTAACAGGTAAGCTCTTTTTGTGTCTCTTCATGTCTATTTTTTGTGTTATTGGCATGTTTACATTAGGTTACCATGTTGCTACAATATCTGAATTCTTTTAGTGAAATTGGCCAAACTTATGCAATAACCTTGCTATCGTGGTTCCGTTTGGTTGTCACTCTTTCTCCTTGCTCTTTATATTCACACCTTTTGCTTCTTAAACATTGGTATAAAGAAAGGGGGGAAAAAGAGGAAAAAGAAATAGATAAAAGTGGCAGTAAATCATGCTTTTTTGGTTGCATATGGGTATGATAAATTTGGAAATTTTACTTTTTATAAATGCTTGCAAAGCTTGAACTCAATCCATTAAATCCATTTTTGCTTTTACATATAAAGTTAAATCTTTTTCTTCCAGTATCAGAAGTAGATATGAAATGGAGTCACGGTGAAATATTCTCTATTCACTTATTAAATTTGAAGCAGTAGTGGTATATTTCTCTTAAGTTGTTTCTTCGTACCAGTTCAAATTTATTTCAAAGTCACATCATGCCCATTTAAAGGACAATTTTTTATATTGCTAGAGTATTAACGTATGTTGATTTTTTTTTTGGTATTCTTATAAATTCATTTAAGAGAATGCATATGTACTTCTGAAGGAGACACTACAAAGTTTGGGACTTGTGGGCACTAGTTTGAATCTTGGAGTGGGGGTAATGAGGTTTATGTGGTGGGAGAGCTACCTCTCATTGGATAGTTTAAAATGCATTGCATTTTAATTTCACGTTACCTTCTAAAATAGTGATTCTATGGATGATTATGCACATAGTGCATCATGTTATTTCGCTTATTGTTCTTTCAACTTCATTATCCTCTGATGTCAATGGTATTACAGCTTTAAAGAGTTGGCTGGAAGTCGACCTTTGTCAGAATTAAGAACAGCCGAGGAAGCTGCTGCCAATGTATCAGGTGCAGTTTCAGAGGCTGATGGACAAGTCAATGAAGGAGAGGTTCATCCTGATGTTGCGGAGCAAACTCCAAAAACTGTAACTGCTGGCTCAACAGAAGCAGAAGAGTTGGAGAAGTCTGTTGCCATTAGAGAAGAGCTATATCAGAAAGCCAAAGAGCTCGATTCTAAGATCATTGGTTTTGAAACAGCTATTAGAAGGCCATACTTTCATGTTCGGCCCCTCAATGTTGCTGAGCTTGAAAACTGGCATAACTACCTGGACTTTATAGAAAGAGAGGGTGACTTCAATAAGGTATTTGAGTTCGTTTTGTTCATCTTTTATTTTAGCTATGGTTCGTAGTGTTCAGTTGTCCTGTTTGTTATATATTGACTTACAGTTAAGTAACATCTGCTGCATCATTTGCCTTATTGGCTAAATCGTTGGGTGAAGCAACTTTTTTAAATGGGAAATGTACTGAGACTAAAGCATGGACCTTCGATTTGGTTTCTTTGAGGCTAAGTACTTCAAACGCTCATTTTTCAGTGGACATTTTTAGGTTTGTAATGTATTGAACAGTGAATTCATTTTATATATTTTAAAGTTCCAATGTTATGCCTGCAGGTGTGTTCTTGTCTTCCTAACCATTTATGTGTCAGGCAATGGGGGTCCCATCATATTTGAGGGGCCTCTCTGTTCCAACAATGGAGTATTTCTTATGCATTTCTCCTTGTGCTTTGTATCGTCCTTTGTTGTCTTGGTGCACCAGATATCTTTCTAATTTTTACATTTTCATTGGTAAAATAGGTGGTCAAATTATATGAAAGGTGCCTTATAGCGTGTGCCAATTATCCTGAGTACTGGATACGATATGTTTTATGTATGGAAGCCAGTGGAAGCATGGATCTTGCTAATAATGCCCTTTTGCGTGCTACACAAGTTTTTGTCAAGGTATGAAGTGATAGATTGTGTTTGATAAAAATTGCTATGTGGATGAGTTTTACCACCCTTTTAGAACAGCTTTTCAAGTTTCAATTGCCAGAGTGAAACTCTCATTTAAATATTTTAATCAGAATTATTCTTAAAAAAGCTTGTACGCAATTTTTTTCTATTTTTTTTGGGTTTGTTTTTGGTAGAATAAAATCCATGAACCTTTTTTACAATATCATTAGCAACCTTCGAATAAAAAGAAGTAAAAAAGGTAAAGGTTGATCTCGAATGTCAAGACAATGTTGATGGTAATGTGGGAGCAGTATGGTTTTCAGTCAAATTCTCTTGTAATTTTTAACCTATTGGGATGGGAGATCATTGCACATTTTTAAAGATGGCACAGTTAGGAATTTGGAACCTTTTTTCACAAAATATTATTTGATGGAAACTAGCACTTTCCACTTGTGTATTCACCTACTGATTCGGTGCCTTGAGTGAATTAATTGAAGAAAGAACCCATTATGTTTCATTTATTTTTTTTTTCTCACAGTTTGGAAACTATTTGAGACATGGCCTAGTTTTTACTATCACATACAGCTCTTGTTTATATTTTTTTACAGGACGTGTATAATATCTAGGTGTTTGTGTGGCATCTTAAATGATGGCATCATGCTAGTTGCAACAATTTGCTTTGTGTTGCATTTCACTGGTATTTTATTTGTTATCGATATTTGACAGAGGCAACCAGAGATCCATCTTTTTGCGGCTCGATTCAAGGAGCAGAATGGGGACATACAAGGTGCTCAAGCTGCATATCAACTCGTTCACAGTGAAATATCACCTGGTCTTCTTGAAGCAATTATCAAGCACGCAAATATGGAACACCGTCTGGTATGATTATATGGTTGTTGATGTGTCTTGTTGTAAAAAACTTTATTTGTTCCTAAGGGGTTGTTTATCTTGATTCTGCAGGGGAAAATCGAAGATGCCTTCTCTTTATATGAGCAAGCTATTGCCATTGAAAAAGGAAAAGAGCATTCTCAAACATTACCGATGCTGTATGCACAATACTCTAGATTTTCATACTTGGTAGGTGGCTGTGTTTGTGATGCCTAATCGCTCCATTTTGTTACGGATCAGTGAAATGGAAATGGATTTTTTCTTTGGTTTAGGGGTCAATGTCAATATCATTAGTTGTTTTTTTTTAAAGAATGAGATGAACTTTATAAATCACCTTTGGCTGAACCTGTGTCTAAATATCTACTTTTCTAATATTATATTACAAATGTTCTAAATATTTTATTGTTAATGTTCTAGTTTCAAAACTACAATAGGAAGTATGTTATATGATGGCATTACTCTGTGACCACTACGATATGGGCATTTGTGTTCTGTTTATAGATTGCATAACAACCAATGCCCAGTTATCATTCTTAATTCATCATGTATTCCACACCAGAAGCCAGACTTTTGTTTTAAATTTCTGTAAACACACCTGCGTATCTTATGATATTTAAGGAGGTTTCCATGTTATTTGATTTGTGTAGGACTAAAAGGAAATTTTATTTAACTCATTTTTGTTGTCTGTTTCCTTTTGCCTGATTGCCGTTTACTTCCAATTGTTTATTGTCTTTGCCAAAATCTCTCTAACCTTACATTGTTATTCCCATTTTTTTTGTTTTGGTAGGTTTGTGGAAATGCAAAGAAGGCTAGGGAAATTTTAGCTGGGACACTTGATAATGTCCAACTGTCTAAACCGTTCCTTGAGGTTCTCTCTCAAAAGCACTCAGACACGCTACTTTCTCTGAACATTCTCCTCTGGTATCTGATCTATGATTTTGCTTTTGTTTTACATGTAGGCCTTAATACATTTTGAAACAATTTTGCCTCCACCAAGGCAGATTGATTATTTAGAGTTATTAGTTGACAAGTTTATAGCCCCAAACTCAGATGGCAGTGCTGCAGACAAGGAAGATCTATCTAGCATATTTTTGGAGGTAATAGGGCTGCTTCTTTTTTCTAAAAAAAAAAAGAAAAGTAAAAGAAGTTGCTTGCTAGTGACCTGCTTATTGACAATATTCAATGTAATTTCTACATTTGGCATTAAGTGCTTGGTGATTAAAATGCATTCCACCTACACTTTGTTTATGTAATTTTTTGTTTATGGATTAGACAGTGAGTTGTGTGGAGGTCTGGTTTGGCTGTGAAATGGAAATTGCTGATAATCATAATGTCAATATAATTTTTCTTTAAGGGTATCTTGAATTTGATTGAAGAAATCGAGATTGATTGCTTTCGAAATGTCTCAAGTTTGTTTGAGATTTCCTCACAAGATTGTTCAATGCTGTTTTGCGAATTCTTAAATATTGTAATAAAGTTTTACTGGTAACTTACTGTTGGAAAATAATTTTGCAGTTCTTGAATCTCTTTGGCGATGTACAGTCTATTAAAAAGGCAGAAGACCGGCATGCTAAACTCTTTTTACCTCGTAGACCCATGTCGGAATTAAGAAAACGTCATGCAGAAGAATTTTTATCTTCAGATAAGACAAAGCTTGCGAAATCTTACACGGGTGCCCCCTCACTTGGTCAGTCTTTGATGGGTGCCTATCCAAATGCACAGAACCAGTGGCCAGGAGGTTATGGCGCACAGCCTCAAACTTGGCCACCCACTACACAGGCTCAGACACAGACACAGCCTCAGGCACAAACTTGGAATTCTGGCTACAGCCAACAGGTAGATTGCACTTGTATCTTTTAAATATAACTGGAACATCGTTCTCTTATTATCCTAACTGTTCTTCCCTTTGAGTATGTTTGATATTGTAGGATGAGATGGTTTTAACTTGTCCTATTTTATTTGATGATACTCTACTTGTATAGTTGGGTGTCTTTTAGTTTGTATCTGCAATTAGAAGATCTTTGTATTCTCTGACAAGTTTAAATGGCTACTTTGTATTTGATTTATACAATGTGACATTCATTATAGCCTATTGAGAAATGTTGTGTGTCACAGTTCTTCCTTGGTATTTGCAAATGGCCTGAGGTCGATTTTTTTCTGTTGTATGGTTATTCTATATTCACCTTCAATGGCTGTGATGACCTTTGGCTTGTGCTTATTGTTGACTTGATTTCAAGATAAGTTAAACATGGGATTTCAGAGCTGTAGAAGAAATAAAAGTGTGCATTTAGAATTTGTGTGATCATAAGTTTTGGATAAGTAATATTGTGCAGGTTTAAATGTTCAGCTGAAATGTTAGCATGTAATTCATGACTGCCTTTAATCCATTGTTGAGTTCATTTGGTTTTTATAGATTTTATACTGTGTTCCTTGCTGTCATTGTCATGATTGATTGACAATTTTTTTTTGGCAGGCTGCATATGGTGCATATGGTAGTTATGGTAGCAATTATGCAGCTCCACAAGCACCCACAGCAGTTCCACAAATTGCAAGTTATGGTGCTTACCCAGCTACTACATATCCGGTTCAGGTATTTTCTATTAGTTCTTCCCTAACGTTTCAGATCTGTTTTGTCAATCTATTACAACCATCACTCTGTGCAATGCATCAAGATCAATTTCATCAAGGCTTTGGTTGGATAACTGGAAAAAGTTGTTGAGATGGAGAATTGGAGGAAATGAGTGAAAATGGATAATATTTATATTTTCATTTCATTGATGTTCTTGATCGGAAATTTTGAGTTTGGAGCTAATATTTGTTTTGCTTATTGAGTAGGGCTTTCCACAGCAAAGTTACGGTCAACCAACAGCTGCCACGAGTTTAAACCCAGCCCAGCAACCTCCTGCTGCTGCCGCAGCTCCTCAGGCTTATTATGGACCTCCTTATTACTGAGATGGCAATAAAATTGAGTATCCGGTTTCATTGCTGCCCCATTTCTCTCTTTTGTTTTCTTAGTGTTCATCGATGAACATTTTTGGGTGTTGGGTGGGGGGGTTAGATTTTGAGTATAGTTATATGTTATATATATTTGACGGATAGTAAATTGTGGTTTAGGTACTATGGTGTACCCTTTTCCTCCAGTTTTAGATTTTATTTGTGAGACTCGTACAAATGTTTTAGTAATTTGTAATGTGCGATCTGTAAATTGCTTTCGTTTCCTTTTTTGTGTGTTTTAAGAAAGAATAAATTTGGGCCAACAGGTTTAAGGTTAGACATATTTGAAGACCAAGCGGAGAAGCAGCTTTTAAAAATTGCAATTTTTTTAAGAAATATAAATTGTATTAATTTGATTTTAGATTATAAAACGACGACGCTATGGTTTACTAACCCATGGGCTCTGCAAAAATCGACGGCTGTGATGTACGCATTTTGCCCGTTAGGATTCTTAGGGAATAAATAAATGGGTAAAGTATGTAAATAGTCCCTTAACTTTTAGGGTGATTGTATTTTGGTCACCTACTTTTGAAACTTGAAATACAATTATCGAACTTTTATTTCGTTTTCATTAAGGTCTTTGTTGTTATCTCCCGTTAGTTTTTGTTGATGTGATATTTAATCTCGTCAGCCCTCTTCTTTTTTTCTTCTCCTATCACACTTCGGTCAGCGGTGGCTCACACCGCCATCACCATCATGACTGGCGTCGCCTCCTGATCGCACTCTGACCCTCGATTTATACTCACCGTTGAACACCCATCCTCGATCACCGTCATCGGTGATTGTCACAGTCAGTACCAGTAGGATCGTCGCCCTATTCCGACCAAAATCTCGCCAATCACTCATCGAGGCTTACCTCCATTGCATGAAGAGGCCCTCGAATCTCATTGAAAACCCCCAACGAACCTTTTATGTTTTCATTATTTTTGGCCGATTGGACCGTATGTTTGCCACACCACCATCATTGTTGGAGTCCTTACATCGTTCCGATCAAAACCTAGTAGATCGTGCCTCCTCGCTATCGTCTCTCATTCGTCCGTCGTTGGTCAAGAAGAAGAGGAAGAATAAGGGGGTTAACAGGGAGTTGACAGGGGTTAGGTGTCACGTCAGTAAAAACTAACAGGAAGTAATGGTAGAGACCTTACTGAAAATGAACTAAAAGTTCGATGATTATATTGTAAGTTTTAAATGTTGGGTGACCAAAATGCAAGTGTCCTAAAAGTTTGGGGACTATTTATATATGTTACCCTAAATAAATAAGAATTTTATTGATTGTCAGATTTCAGATGTATGGTCATATGTTTTTTTCGGCATAATGCAAGCAAATACCCCTAACGTTTGATTATATATGCAATTGTTCCCAAATCATTTTTTTTTTGGAATATTTGACCTCCACATGTTTCATTTTGGGTCAAAAATCACCCTCGTTGGATGAAAATCATTAATCAACTGATGGTCAACGCCTGAAGCTGACTAATCAAGAACATGTGGAGGGAGATGCTGACGTGGCATGTACACATGTGATGCCACATCATCGATTTTTTTTAAATTAATTAATAATAAATAATTATTTTTTTTACTAAATTAATATCACTCAATCAAATGTTGTCACGTGGCACATGAATTTTTTATTAAAATAAGAAAATAGAGATTACTAATCCTCCTGAAATTTTGCAACTCATTGGACTAAAGGATGAAAGCCTTGATGCAGCCTTGATGCTTAATCATCAGGCCAAGTCATTTGGTTGTTACTGAATGACTAATAACAAGATTTAAAGTATATTGTTGTTATCAAAATCACCATTAACTCAAACACTTTTTTTAAATTATAGTTAGATTTAAATTGTTATAATTATTTGAGTAAATTTAAATTCATATTTAAAATTTTAATTAATTTTAAATTTATAAACTTTAAAAATGACCTATGGCAAATGTGGAATCTTGGTGAAGAATGCAAGCCGGCTGGATGCTTATACCTCTTCAAGGAGTAAAGACGAGCAGCACTTCAATTTGGATAAGAACGAGCCCGATTTCTTTATAACTGTTTAATATAAATTTATTCATTTGTTTATTTTTATTCAAAATCTTTAATAAAAGTATCCAACAGGAACCATTCCTGCTCTAACAAAGATCATAATTCATAAGTTCAAAGGAACAAACCTTGAGAGTTACTACCATCGTATATGCTAATAAGATGTTCTAGACAGATTAAACAAAGCCTACAAATAACACAGAAGACACGACAGATAAAAGTACTGGAAAACCAAACCTAGTTGAAATCAGGTATTACTATTCTTTGGCGGTCTTGTTGATGAGAGACTTGTGAATGTGAGGGATCACACCACCTCCAGCAATGGTGCCCTTGATAAGGGTGTCAAACTCTTCGTCTCCCCTAATAGCCAGCTGCAGATGCCTTGGGAACTCGAATACCTCAGCGGTCAGGTATTCGAGGATTGAGGCCAAGTAAACATCAGTTGTTGCCCCAACTCTCCCATTTGCAGAAGCCCTGGACTTGAGATTATGGTGGATACGACCCACTGGGAACTAATAACAAGAAACAGTGAAGCGTACTGAGGAACCATATGACAAATACCAGGTGGAAAGAAAACCCTCATTTTTATATGGTCTTATCAGGCAAACAACAAAGACTACAATTATAAACAGATCGAACCAAGGACGTAGAATCCTGATAAATTTGTTTAACTCATAATACAGAAACAATTTGAACTGGTTAAAGATTAAAAACTACACCATGTGTATAGATCCTTCGCTGACTGAGTTGCATCAACTTTTTTTATGGATGAACGTGCTTTCATTACCCAAAAGAAGCAAGAATCTGAAGAACAAATAAGAGCAACAGGACTGAGTCCCAATTTGCATGCAGATAATGATGACGATTCTCTTGTTGTTCTAAATTGCTTTCAAGAATCACAGTAAGAGCATCATCTTATTCTTGGATGCCAAAATCATAACCCCAAGCTCTTCCTCCGGGAAAGTGATCCTTCAAACCATAGGTAAATCGATATGGGATAAACTATAGGTTTTTTTTAAAGTTTATAAATTTAAAAATAATTAAAATTTTTAATATGAATTTAAATTTACTCAAATAATTATAACAACTTAAATCTAATTATAATTTTAAAAGAAAGTACTTGTGTTAATGGTGGTTTTGATGGCAACAATATACTTTAAATATTGTTATTAACCATTCAATAACAACCAAATGACTTGGATCGATGGTTTTCATCCTTTAGACCCAAGTTCAAATCCCATAGTTGTAAAATTTTTGCTCTTTTCTTAATTTAATAAAAAATTCATGTGCCACGTGACAATATTTGATTGGGTGATATTAATTTAGTAAAAAAATAATTATTTATTATTAATTAATTTAAAAAAATAATGGCGTGACATCACACGTGTACATGTCACGTCAGCATTTAGTCTACGTGGATCTGTCACGTCATCATCTACCATGATATGGACATGTCACGTCAGCATCTTCCTCCACATGTTCTTGCTGAGTCAGCTTCAGACGTAAAACATCAGTTGACTAACGGTTTTCATCCTACGATGGTGATTTTTGACCCAAAATAAAACGTGGGAGGTCAAATGTTAAAAAAAACGATTTGGACACGATTGCTTATATGGTCAAATGTTAGGGGTATGTGTTTGTATTATTCTTTTCCCCAAAAAATCTCTTTGGTTTTATTTCATTTAAAAAAAAACTTACTGAAAATATATTTGATTAAAAAATTAGTATATTTTAAAAAAATGAAAGTACGTAAAAGTTTTTAAAAAAGTAAAAAGTTAAAAACAGTAACTTTTAATTTAAAAAGGGTAAAATATAGTAATGGTCACTGAATTTTTTTAAAGTTTTCATTTAAGTCTCCTAACTTTTAAAACTTGCAAAATAATCCCTCAATATTTAGTCCGTTTACAATATGATCCCCCAACAGTTATGTAAAAATATTAATATCATCCTTTAATCTAGTCAAATTTTCCATCATCGATCATTGTTCATATTGTCATCGGTCACAGTCGACCATCATTTCTTACGATTGTTAGATCTAAAATTTATAGTTCACTTATTTTTTGATCTCTTGAAAGCGAATCTAATATCATCAAAAATACTTCGAACTCCACAATCCTTATTGAGTACCTTTCAAATTCCTTTAAAATAAAGGGTAAACAGCACTAATGATCCATTTTTTTATCCTGACTTATTTTGGTCATCAATTTTGAAAAAAAATTATTTTAATCACTTACATTATGATTTATTATATTTTAATTACTAGACCTTCAGATTTTCTATAATTTTTTTTTCACCCTCTAGATAAAAAAAATCTGAAATATATTGTTCTCCCAAAAAAGTCCCTCTCCTCTAAACCTTGCCCTCATCTTTGCTGTCATTGTTGTCGCCATTGCCTTTAGTCGCCGCCGTCTTTAACCGTTGTTCGATCTCTTTATATTTTACCAACAAGTCGTGACCGCCCCAGAGCCACCATCATTTTGGCAGCTGGCAGCATACGCAGCATGTAGCTAATGGAAAATCTTGGTGAATACCTTCGTCTGTTTTGCTTATGTACAAGATGCCTTGAAGTTGGTTTGGTGCCGTTTAAATGTTTAAAACAGTGCGTTAGCAGGCTACCCTATTTAAGGACTGTCCCGTTTAGTTTCCAGACGTGTTGGGTTATAACGTGGTGCAAAAACGCTGCAAGTGGCTTCTGGATTTTAGGCCAATAAGCTGCCATGTTACCTTCTTCTCCATATTTGTACTCATCAATCTTCCGGTTCTGAACCTGGTCTAACGGATCTTCGGTCCGTATCGAGCTACGACACGAGACAAGAATCAGTTTGGGAAGATCAATGAATTCATACCTAACATCACTGTCAAACTTTGGCAGATATAGCTTGAAGGCATTGAAAACAACAGATGTAGTCGATCGAATACAAGTTAGCAGGAATTGACAATTCCTTGCTAACATCAAAGGCTTGTGTACCAAATAAGCTTTAACTACACCCTTCGGTCACGACCCGTTGGTAAAATTATGGTTGTAAATAAATAGAGCGTTTGATAAATTATTTGTGAATTGTTCGTATAATGTTTGTTCCTTAAGCTAAGTAAACGAGTATGAACAAATTTTTTATGTTCATTTAATAAAAGAACGAACATGAATAAATATATGTTTGGTTCGTTTATGACCACGAACAAACTCGTTTATCGATTCATTTATAAGCTCGTTTATTTGGTTCTCTTTTTCCTATTATTTTTTTATAGTTTAATGTGAATGTATAGACTAAGATGAACATAAAGTGAATTTAAGAGTTCAAACTGTAAGTATAAGGAAATTAAGGACTAGTGGCGTAATTTCACCATTTTTCTTTTACTTGAAAATAAAAGAGTAAAATGAGAGAAAAATTAAATGGACTTTAAATGAAAATGTTCACGAACGTTAAATAAATATGTTCATGAAAATTAAATGAACATGTTAGCGCACACTAAACAAACGAACACAAACATTTTATGGGGAAATGAATACTGCATTCGTCGAATAGATAAAAAGCAATGAATGAAAAATTTTGGGATCCAACAATTGTCGATGACAACATTCGATGGAGATCATGGTAGTCAATGATAACAATGGTGAGTGGTAACTAACGATGAAATGCTTCTATCAAATTCAAGGACCAAAATGATATTTTATCTAAAGTTCAAAGGTAAAAATGATATTTCATTTGAAGTTTGACTCAAATTAAAAATCAATCTCTTTACTAACATGTTACATTATATAACTAACATGAGTTAACGATTTAATGATCAAGATGTAATAATTAATAACATAAGTGAACAAAATTTAATAAATCAATAACGTAAGTGATTGAAACATAATTTTTCAAAATTGATGACCAAAATGAACAAAATTAAAACAAAAGTGATCATTTCAATAGTTTATCCTAACATTTAAATTTTCTTACTTGGTAACGATTTTTGAAAATAAAAAAATAAAATTGAGATGCGCATAATCACGCGCGAAAATGTTTGCTTTTCTCTACTCAAGTCTCTATCGAAGTAAATACTTACCATTTCATTTCAAAATTAGGGTAAAGTATAGTAATGGTATTGAACTTTTCTAAATATTTCATTTATATCCCAACTTTTAAAATTTTAATACAGTCCCCCAACATTTAGTCCATTTGCAATATGATTCCTGACGTAACTGTTGGGGGACCATATTGTAAACAGACTAAATGTTGGAGGAATGTATTGAAAGTTTTAAAAGTTTAACCTAAATGAAAACTTTTGAAAAGTTCAGTGACCATTACTATACTTTACCCTTTAATAAATTGATTTGGATTGAGATCCTTTCTTATTTTGTAAACCTAACCTTCATCCAGCTGCTCTTTTGATACCCAAATAAACGAAACATATCGGCAAGTGCTTTTCCCTCCGCCATTTAAAGTCTTTTTAAATAAAATATATGTATATATATAGACTAGGGTTTCTGATACTTTAACCATCGGATTCAAGACTTTTAAACTGGGGACTGCATTTGGTTTATTGGGTGAGGAGTAAAGATTAGATCTAGATCTTCTTTCGTTGCATGCTTTTGTTTTGAGGTCATCTAATTGAACCACTCATCACAATGGCCGCTACTTCTTACCCTGGACCCGTTCAGGTGATTTTTCCTTCTCATCTTTTTGTTTTCCGCTGTTCGTTATTTTGTTAATCTGTGTTTTTGTTGTTTTAAAATTTCAGGTTGGTTCATACTTCGTTGGACAATACTATCTGGTACTTCAGCAGCAACCTGATCTAGTTCATCAGTTTTACTCAGAGAACAGTACCGTGGTTCGGGTTGATGGCGATTCCTCCGAATCTGCTTCTTCCATGCTGGTAACTTTCTAATCCTAGTAATTTACTGTATAATGAATTTGCCTGGGCATGGACACTGCGTTCTTGTTCTTAATTATATCTGATAAATGTCTTTCTATTTGCCTTTTAAAATGTTTGGTTGTGTGATTTTTTAAGTTCATGTTCATGTAACAGTTGCAACATGATTATATAGATATCTGATTTGGCCTAGTATAAGCCAAGTTTGGGAGAGATGGGATGAAATTTTTTTCTTTTGTAGGCCATTCTTTTATCTATGCCATTTTTCTTTGTAAGAAAAAGGGATTCTATTGATCATTTGGATTTTACAATCCAAAGTTTACTGTTAACTGGTTTCTTTTGCCGATTTGAGTTATGAATATTGGTCTCTATGATAATTATAAAAGATTTATCAAGCTTCTTTTATCAGTAATAAACTTCCTTATATTTTACATCATAATGGGTATTTTTTGTAATTTATTGGTTTCTTAATTTCTCTCTGCAGCAAATTCATACCTTGGTCACTTCACTAACTTTTACTGCAATCGAGATCAAGACGATTAATTCTCTTGATTCCTGGAATGGAGGTGTTCTGGTGATGGTTTCTGGTTCTGTTAAAATCAAGGATTTCAGTGGGAGAAGGAAATTTGTGCAAACCTTTTTCCTCGCCCCTCAAGAGAAGGGTTACTTTGTTCTTAGTGATATATTACAGTTTATTGATGATGAAATGACTTCAAAACATCCAGCCTCCTCATTACAAGAAAACAAGCATGATTCTCAACTAAATCTATCAAGCACTGCTGCAGAGCCACCCTGTACTGTGTGCAAGCTTTTTTTCTCAATTTAATCTGAAATTTTTATTTCAAGCTATATTATTTTTTGGACTTAATCTCCACATGTAAAATTGTAGATGACTATGTTCTAACTAGTCTAATGCTTTTCAATTACATCTTTGTTGTTTCTTATGACCTTAAGTTGCCTGCTTATAAAAAAACAGCGTATTGTAGTTTTTCTTTTTTGGTTAGTAGATTTCCACATTTAAGTCTTAAATTAAAAATAACAAGTTAATTTTTGGGAAACTATTCTTCTTTCTGCTGGTCCATGTTATGTGCTTTTCTGGCGGCACAGATTTTACTTTGTTTTATTTTCGGTTTGGCCTAACATGTTGGATTTAACAGTTTCTGACTATGTTTTGGAGGAAGAGGCCAGGGAGTATGTCAACTCTGTTCATATAGATGATGATCCAGTTGATGAATATAGTCTTCCTGAGCAACCGCAGGAAGAAGATTTTGAAGCTGAAGTTGTGGAAGAGGAAGCTCCTGCTACCCATCACAGTGTGGTGAGCACTGTGCAAGAGACCCCAGCTATGCCTTTGGAGGAGCCTGTTGGAGAGGCTCCAAGAAAAACATATGCCTCTATTGTAAGTACTCCCCTGTAGCTTATTATACTAGTACTATTTTTTTATGTGAGCCTCTATGTTTATGACTCGCTTATTGAGGGTGTCACACCCGTTGCCTATTCTTGACATGTTGAAATAGCTATCATTTTATCTCTAAGTGTCTTTATTTTCTTTATCCTTAATGTAGCCAGAATATCCTTTGAATTATACTCGAGTGTGTGGCATACAACATCAGTTTTATGTTACCAAAACATGCGCATGCATGTGAAGAATAACATGCTCAAATATGAAAAAAAATTAAATTAAGTAAATAGAACCATACATGTGACTGAGAGAAAGAAATTATGGACACTTTCCGTGAATTGTCAAGTGAGAGTCAAGTATGATCTCTCCTTTCCTCTGAATTAACTTTTTTCTATCTAATACTTAGACCACAGGATAATGGTGTTTTATTTTTTTGAAATTTAAATATTTTTTATTGATTAACCTTATTTGGTGTTAAAAATGTAGTTGCGTGTTCCAAAGGAGCAATCCATTTCATCTGTTCAACCTCGACCATCTTATAATAAGACTCCCCGGAGTACTTCAGATTGGGAACATATACCAGAGCCTGCTAGTCAACAGTCACATCATGCTTGGGCAGATGTGCGTGAATCTACAGCAGAGAAAGCTGTGGAGGAAGGCTTGGTTTCTGAAGAAGGTTACTCTAGCTCTATCTACATTGGTATGTTTTGTTTATTTTAGGACTTACAGTGGTTTAGTTTTGTATTAGATGGTTTGCTTTGCCTATTTATCAATTTCCCTTCTTTAGCCTTTGCATTGATTAATGGGAAAATCTAATATGGACCATCCTGGCATTTAATTTGACCCACTGAGCATTAGGGTTTCGTTTCTACATCTGAGAAATTAATACTTTAGAGGCTGGATATTTATATCATTCCATTTCTCAAATACCTTTACTGGTTGAAATGCTTATAGTACTTGGATTAGGATTTGCAATCTGATCATTGATCTTCATTCTTTCAGATGAATATACTGGTGAATACAAATCTGTCTATGTGAGAAATTTGCCCTCTACTGTTACTGCTACTGAAATTGAGCAGGAGTTCAAGAATTTTGGCAGAATCAAGCTTGATGGTGTGTTTATCCGGAACCGCAAGGTAATTTGCTTTTCTCCTCTTTCTGCTTATCTTTGTATATTACTTCAAACAAACTAAATTTGCGTTAGATGCATGCAGGATGTTGTTGGTGTTTGCTATGCTTTTGTTGAGTTTGAAGACATTTGTGCTGTTCAGAATGCAATCAAGGTATGGATTTTAATTGTTGTTTGTGCTTTCACACAAGCGAATATGTTGGACTGCAGCTAGTAGCTTAGTTACTTTCAGTATTTCATTTTAGAGTTTCAAAAGCTCAACATTTTCTCATTTTTCCTTCTAAGCTCCTCTCTGAATTATTTTCATTGTATGTTTGTAACTACTTGTTTGACTTGTGTTTGTCTGTACCATTGAGTTTACTGTAAAAGGAGCTTTGAACAATCTTTTAACACTACCCTTGTGATTACATTTTATATTTTTTTTCGTGGTTACCTATATTGTTGGATCAAATTTAAGATACATCCATGTACCTTTATGATGGTTTTTTTCCGTTGCTTATGATGGATGAGATGGAGATGGCTAGCACAGCTATGAAAGTGTTTCTTGAGTAAATACAGGAAAAAAAGGAAGCGGATTTCTAGAGAGGAGAGTGAAGGAAATAAACCTTCCTTTGTTTTTCCTTTAAATCAAAATTGACTTATAGCACCCTCAACGGTTGAAGCTTTATAGTTTCATTGTATGAATGACTTTTTATATACCTAGGTGGTTCCATGACGTGACATTATTTTCTTTTGTAGCTAATTTGTATATTCATTGCCATCCTGAAGCTTTTATGGTTTTCCTTTTGGCTTCTGTACTTATTTGTTATACTAATACTGACCGAGTTGTGTTCCTTCTATAGGCATCTCCTATACCATTGGGGGGAAGACAAGTCTACATTGAGGAGCGCAGACCAAATAGCAGCAGTATACGTGGAGGAAGTATATGCCCTAATACACACTCTTTTATGCACTCTAGCATTTCGTTCTATATTTTCAATAAAGTGCACTTTCATGTTGCTGCTTTTGGGTATCTTCAGAACATGCACAAAAGCATTCTTGTGATCCAAAATTACTCTTCGCAAAATTTTTGAGTGACAAAATTCTTGTGCTGGTTGCTTCACTAAAGTTTTGCATATCTATGATAATCTTCTAGGTGGATATGGTTGGGTGATAAACAAACTTCCATTATAACTCATAACTATGATAGTCATTAATTTTGTCAACTCCATATACCAAATTTACCATCTTGAACATTAAGAATGTGATTCTATAGTGTGTAACATATTAGGATTGCATTACTTCATTCTTCTTCCTTATGCCAAGGAACCAAAAAGAAAAAAAAAAGAAACTATTCTTCCTGCTTGTCTTAAACGTGCATTTGTTGTAATTTTTTTTTGATAGAATGCATTTGTAGTAATTGATTTGCATGGATGGGTTACAAATGGTAGTCAACTTTAGCATTCTCATAGTGAATTTGCTTGGAGTATTGCTTTGTCGACATGATTTTGCCATTGAAAATGACCAGGAAGGGGAAGAGGTAGAGGCAGTTATACACCCGAGGCCTCGAGAGGTCGCTTTGGTTCTCGTAGCTCGGGTAGGGGAAACAATCAAGAATCTGGCGACTACAGATCAAGAGGCAACGGTTTGTATCAGCGAGGTTCTAGGTGAAGTTTTCAATTTCAACTTCTTGCATGAATCTTGGGGGGTGATTTCTAATTAGACATTTCCCATCAGTGGCTTCAGAAAATATGCTTGTACTTCCAGTTTTTTTTTTTTTGCCAGTGTTATTTCTCATAAAAGAATTGTTTGATGGGTGTATGGTTTTCTCCTCTTGAATGCTTTTTATTATGCAGTTCAATTGGAACATCCTTTTTTATATTTTTGAGCTGTTCTATGCACAACTAGATTTGTCACACCTATATTTTTGAGTGAAAAGAAGTTACATTTTTAAGTTTCTTTTTTACATAATATATCAAAATTCAATCAAGGAGTAGTGCAATCCAATTAATGTTAATAATGTAATTCATTTAGTTACATCTCTAATTAGAGGGTTCATTTTTTTTTATACACATTTGTAAGTAGAGATGTGTAGAAATAATATTTTATCATATATGTGTCTAGCCTCATTTAATTAAATTAATAACTATAAGATTATTTGCACAATTTATTCGATTACATTTATAATTGGAAATTTAATTATTTTTAATAAAATTAATCGAAATTCTCTTTAGACCAACTTGAATATGTTAATTCGGGTTTTAAGATGTAACGAATATAGTTGCAAAATGCTCTTCTATGTATATAGATATATTTTTTATGCATTTCATATTTGTTGTATCAATGAGTATCTAATTAATATTGTATTTATTTCCATATTTCATTCATATATAATTATATTTATAAAAATATATAAAGTTTTGAAAACAATAAAAGAAATGAGCATATTTAACAATTCTTTTAATTAGTAAATGGTAATTGGAGTATAAATATAATTATATATTCTTTACGGTAATATTTAATTTTTTTTAATAGTTTAGAATAATTATAAGGTGTATTCATTTAGAATATTTCTTAATCACTATACATACATCCGGTAAACATAACTATTTTAATTTAAAACTTTTAAAAAGAGCGATATTTCATTTACTATTAAATCCGTTTAATGAGTTGTAAAATATATTTTATTAAATTATCAGCAACATTAAAAGGTTTATATTGCGAACATGAAAGAAATTCAATTGGCATCATTTTCAACAACAATAATAATAATGACAAAAAAAAACTGCCCTCATCAAGACTTCACTAATTAATATGTCAAAAATCTAAAACATGATGGTAACAAATACCAACCAAACCAGAGGAGGTGAAAGAAAGGGAGGAAAGTAAGGGTACAGGTGTCGCGAGCTGGAAAGTTAAACAATGTCACGTGTCAGCTAACCAGCTGGATAGGCCCGCAGACTTATTATGATTCGGTTGTATTTAATCATGCCTGAACTCTATGTTTAACGCTCACACTTGGGTCCCACCTTTCGAAATTGAATTATGATATTTAAAATTCAGTGATCAAATTGAATTATAATATTTGATTTCTTTTCTTTTTCCTTTTTCATAATTTTAGATAACATTTTTAATCATTGTTATCATCGAGCCGCCATCAACTCTCATTTCCATTTTCTTATAAAAAATGTCACATAAAAAAATACTATAATACGATATATGACATAGAACGATTCAAAAAAATTATTAGATTTAATAGTCAATATTAAATAAAAAAGAAAAAAATTGAGTACATATGTTTAATTGAATCTAGAAAGGTATCGTATTTTTAAAGACCAGAGGATTTTGGACATCGTTAAAGCTAATAAGAAAAATAGGAAATATAGGGAAGCGTGTAGTCAGTGTGTCTCCTGCTCCTAAAACAGCAGCGTACGCCCTCTCTTTCACGCAAAAAACAGCTCACTCACTCCATATCTTCGTTTCTTAAGACATTTTAAAATATAAATTTACAAAGTTTATTGGTGTAATGTTTTAGGTTTGATAGTGTAATGTTTTCGATGCAACCATTATTGGTGTCGTTGTTATTAACGGTACTGAACGATCGATCATCCATCGTCGTCCATCTAGGGTTGTGAGCTTGAGTTATATTGAGCCTGACTTGACTCGACTCAAAAAGTAAAAATTTAAGTTCGAATTGATTAAAAAATTTATGAGTTTAAAATTGTCAAGTCTGACTCGAACTCGAAATAACAGACGGAAGTTTGACTCGACTCGAAAGCCTCATGAACTTAAAATTTTCAAGCTTGACTCGAAATAAAAAATTGAAACTCGACTAGAGAATGGCAAAAAACCCTTAAACTCAAAATATTATTAGACTTAACTCGATTGAAGTTCGAACTCGAACCTAAACCTTAAATTCATGAAAGTCTTATATTGTAATTTTTTTAAAAATAACATATGAATATTAATAATAATATAATTTAAAAAATCTAAAATTTTAATATATTATTTTTCGAGTTGCTCGCAAGCTTTTTGAGTTAGGTATCAAGTAGTTCACTTCGGCTCGTTAAGAATTCGAGTCTAGTTCGAGCTCGACTCGAGTCTATTTAATTCGAGAGTTGATCAAACTTTTATCAAATTGATCTCAAGTAGTTTATAATCTATTTCGTTTTATTTACAGCTCTAAGTCCATTCACTAATTGATTATCGACCCCAAACCCATAAATCCTTAATTAAATCCATCCCTTATTATTTTCCCTTCACAAGATGCACACGATTCATGTCTATGGAGTTTCATGATCATAATGATTTGAGATTATGATTTAGGGGATTCATATTGAAAGAAGGTTGTACTTGTCTAGCATCGAAAACATTTGAGAATATAGATAAAATAAAGGTAAACAACGAGGAAAGTGATGGTGACAAACGATGAACGAGTGACTGATGATGAACGAGTGACTGTTCAATAACGATAACAGATGTAGTTAACGATGATTGATAATAGAGTTTGAAATATGACAATTTAAGATTTTAAAGTTTTTTTTATATATAATTCTAAAGAAATTTGAGGGTTTTTTAAAAACTTATAAGTTTTTAAAAATATTTTTTTTAAAATTTTTATAAATGTGATATGTGTCTTTTTTTTAAATAATTAATGATTTATTTTATCGATCGTAAAAAATCAAACGGTAAAACACCTAAAATAAATTAAATTTATAAAAATTTGGCATAAATAGTTAATGATACGTGTCATGTTTTAAGTGGTTAATGATTTATGCCAACGGATATTAGTATAAGTGGTTGAAATTCAGGAATTTAAGTTTATAATATTAAATTCGAATCTTATCACCGTTATTCATGATGTACACTATAAAAACACTTGAAATAATAACGTAAAAAACGTTAACCATGTAAAATAAACAAAGTATATACTAATTTAAACAGTTAATTATTGGTTAAACTAAAATGAAAGGATGGCAAGAGACAGTTGCTGGTTGTGTTGTGAGTGAGTACGTGTTGATGTTACGTTGAGCTGTCGATTTTTGCATTCCATTCAAAACCCGTGTGCCGTGGTGCTTTGCTTCAAGTTTGGGTTTACTTTTAGGGTTGGTCTGGTCCCTAACCTAATTAATTGTCGTGAATTCATAGGAATAGAAGGATGGGTGTGGGTCCCTTCATATTTGGGCCCCGCCCTTGTCGGCTTGTCGTTTGGGTGGTGCTTGTAAATGGACCCCTTCTTCTCCTTTGTCGCGATATGAGATTAACGTTAACCATTCAAATATTTTAAAAAATTCAGTTAAGTTGTAAATAAACTGAACGCACACGAACAAATGTATATTCATGTTCGTTCATTTCATAAATAAACGAACATAAACGAACACGAACATATTTTTTTTTTGTTCATGTTCGTTCATTAAGGAATATAGTTTGTTCATGTTCGTTCATTTAAATGATAAACAAAAATAAACGAACACAAACGAACGAACATGATAAATGAATATAAAAGAACACAATAAATGAACAACACAAACATAAAAAATAAACTTATTCGAACACGACAAATAAATGTAAAAAAATTAAACAACAAGAATAACAACTTAAAATTCTTTAATATAACCTGAAACTTAAGAGTTAATTTGTTCGAATACGACAAAAACATACATAAATCATAAATAAACTGTATGAACATAATAAAGTCTTAAAGTTAATTTGTTCAACAAAACAATATTCTTGAAATCCAAACAATTTCAATAATATTTGTAACATATTCAACTTGCCATCTGTTTGAACATAATGAACGAACATAAATGAACGAACATAAACGAACATATAATCGAACGTTCACGAACGTAAATGAACGAACGATCTCTTTGTTCGTGTTCGTTCATTTAATTAAACGAATGCAAAATCTTATTCACGTTCATTCATTTAATAAATAAACAAACATAAACGAACTTCCCGCTGCACAGTTCATTAACGGTTCACTGAACGTTCAGCTCATTTACATGCCTATAAGTTATTACTTTTTCATCTAACTAAAAATATTATAATTATATAAAAAATATTAAAAATATAAAACATGAAATATTTCTAAAAAAAATAATCAGAAACTATATTTAAAAAAATATAAAAAATATTTAAAAAAACATTAAACATTATGAAAAATTCTAAAAATATGATATTTTGATAAAATTATAAAAATTATAATTCAAATCTTAATCACTTTAATTAACAAAACATTTTTAATTAACTAAACCATAGATAAATCACATTCCAACTATATGGTTTCATCATAAATTTTAAATATTTTAATATTTTTTGATGTATATATATATATAATATTTTTTTTTATTTTTTATATTTTGAAAGGATTTTTTAATATTTATATTTTTAAAAATATTTTTATTATTCTAATAATACTTTATCTTCTTCTAATATTTTTTTAAATTTTGATATTTTGTTTTTTCTATAATTTTTAAAATTTTAGATCCTTCAATGTTTTTTTTATATTTTTAATAATATTTAAAAAATTTAATTATTAAATAAAATTTTAAAATTTTTAAAAAATAATATAAAATTTTAAAAATTAATTTTATAAATAATTTTAATTTTTTTTATAGAATATTTTAAATAAATTTAAAATGTCATATGACAACATCATGTTGTAACACATGATACAAATGATTAAAAAATTAATTAATGAATAACATTAGTTATTTAATATATTTGATCTTAAATTTTATGATAAATATTTTCTTAAATATAATTAAAATTTTCAGAAATTTAGAGTCTTTTAATATATTTGATCTTAATTTTTTTTAATATAATTTTACTCAAATAACCAATTTTTTTCTGAAATGGCTGAGTGTTTAATGTTTTGATATTTGTTACCATGGTTATTTAAGGTTAAGCAATGTATAATCAATATCCCTAAATAATACACACTGGTTCTAAAATAAGACAAAGCAAGGAAATCAGATAGACAGAGATACCTATTCCCCAAAAACAGCATATCTAAAAATAAAACAACAATATCACTCATTTGTCTTCATATATGCTGCCTTTTAGCTTCATAAATGGAATTTCCCTTTTTAAGAGCTAAATTCTAAAATCAACAAATATCTTCAAACCCTCTATCTATGTTGTTTGTCTGATATCCCCAGATATTAGAAATAAAAACTATAAGGAGAGAAAATGGGGTCTGATTAGGGTAGTAAATGAGTTGAGTTTAAGAATTGTTGGGTTTGATTTGATTCTAAAAGTTTGAGTTTGAGTTTGATTTGACTAAAAAATTCACGAATTTAACATTGTGAAACTTAACTCAAGCTCGAAAAAATTTAAATTTGAAACATTCTTAAACTTAACTTGATTGAAGTTTAAATTTGAACGTAAACCTTAAATACATAAAAATTTTATATGTTAATAAAACTGTAACAAATAAATGTTAATATTATTAATAATTTAATTTAAAAAATAAAATTTTAATATATTATTTTTTGAGTTACTCACGTGATTTTTCAAGTTATATATTAAATAATTCGCTTTGACTCATTAGAACTCAAATCAAATTTTTTCAATTCAAATATTAATCAAGTTTTAGTCAAAATCAAACTTAAATTACTTACAGTTACATGTCTCATTCACATCCTATACGAGATTAAGCAAAAACAAGGTCTATAAAGATGGCGGATTAGAGAGAAAAATGATATTTTTTTCTTTTTGTAAGACTTTAATATAAAAGAAGATTAATGGAGGAGGAGAGCATAAAAGCAGACAAGGTAGGGGCCCAACTCATCACTACAAACCGCAGGCGGCGGCAACAGCAGCACCATACCCAACCTAACCAACCTTTCCTTTAAAACCCTATTTTTTCTTGTAACTTTATATTTTTATTATTTTTTCTTCTTGATTTTCCTTTCATTTCCAGTTTCCCAATACCCACCAAACTTTAAGCTTAATACCCCTCCTCCCAAATTCTCCATCTTTGCCCTCTGCCTACAAATTTGCAAGCTTTACCTGTAATTCATCTCTTATATTCTACAGTTATAAAATTCAAAACTTGGGGTGAACCAAGGAGTTGTTCTAATTTTCAATGGAAGGCAGTGGTGTTGGTGGTTCTGAAAGTGGGTCTATGTCTACAGTTTCAAGGGAGGACAACATGGTGGTGTCCTCAGTGGATTCTTCTTGCCCTGATGAGTCTGAGTTGGAGTTGGGTCTTGGTTTGAGCCTTGGTGGTTTTAAGACCCACCAAGTTTCGAAAGGTGCTCAATTTGCTAGGATTTTGACTTCTAAGGATTTCCCTTCTGTGATTCCTGATGCTTCTCCATCGTCTTCTTCATCATCTTCTTCATCTTCTTTAACTAGAGCTAATGTCACTGCTGGGACCAAGAGGACTGCTGATTCTGTGGCTGCTGCTAATGGCTCTAGGTATGTTTTAATTTATTAGGTCGTGCCCTGAATTATGCTCATGCTGTTGGATGTAATTGGTTTTTACCTGAATCTATCTGTTTTCTATGTAATTCTGTTATAACACTTAGTTACCCTTATAAGCAGGGATGGACTGCACCCTGGAAATTTCAAGTTCCTACATAGTTTTAAGTATTGATGATCTAATTTCGCACCCCTAAATTTCTAATATGATTCGCACTGCTGACATAAAATACTGCATCCGTCATAAGGTATGTGTGTGGCTCTCATCAGTTGCAGATTTTGGTACTTAAATCCAAGATCATGAGAAAGACAGTTAACCAAAGGGAAAGTAAAATTTGGTACTTGAATGTGCTAATGTTGTCAATAGATTACCATTATAAGAATATGAATGATTATTCCATTCAGAAAAGAGATAGCAATGGAGACAACTTTATTGTTAGGTTGTTGAAGATTTCGTAGGCTTCCACTTTCCTTGAGATTGATCATTTTGGTGGCTAACAAATTATTTATCGATTCTATCTTTTAAGATATAAATGTTGATAGATAACACAGTCCCGATCGTGGAAGTTCATTCCGAATTCAATATATGTTGCTATTTGCTTGGTGATATTAGTGAAATACCAGTTTATATGGAAACCTGTATGTCTTGGGCACCTTATATACTACTAGGCTTTGTCTTTGGCGAGGCGAAACCAATGCCGTCGAGATGGTTCTAATGTCTACAATTGTTCTTTTGGTATAACCATTTTGGCACCATATAATAACTATTCTTACTGTTAACTTATTGTGGTCGCTGGATGTTAAATCGCATATTGCGAGCTTCTAGACCTTTTCTTACCATATGTTATTTTTTCTTGAATTTGGAACAGTCAAGTCATGGGGTGGCCTCCTATCAGAGCTTATAGGATGAATAGTATGGTTAGCCAAGCAAAATATCTGGCCGCTGAAGGATTTAACTCAACAATGGAGAACCATAAAAGTGAAACCTCTATGGTTGAGAAGAGTACTGCTGGCTTCGACAGATACCAGAATAACAGCAGCATTAAACTCAGAAAATCCTTGTTTGTGAAGGTGAATATGGATGGAATCCCGATTGGAAGAAAGGTTGATTTGAATGCACATGAATCCTACGAAAAATTAGTGAAAACTTTGGAAGATATGTTTCTGAAAACCACCCCAAGCATCAATCCAGCTGGTGAGATTTTCTTTGTTTTTTTTCTTTCTTTCTTTCTTTCTTTCTTCTGTTAACATTCAGAAGATGAGTTAAGTACTCATCTATCGGTTGAAGGGATGTCCTCTACTATACGATGAAAATGTCTTAAATGATACATGGGATTTAACGAAAATGATTGTGTATGCTTAAGACTCACTACTTTGCATTATGCAAAATCAAAGTGTGTATGGGATCTAAGCACCCTAGCGTGCGAATTTTGGCATTGTGAATGGAGCAATCTGGGTTGTCCCGATAATGAGTCTCTGTAGTATCTGATCCTGATTAATCAACCAATGAGTCAAATAGCGGTGGTTATAAAAAGAAGTAAAGCATTTGAAAGACTATTTTTTATTAGATGATTATCGGAGCTTGTCTCTCTTTGATGAATGTTGTCATGATTTTTTTGATCAGGATCAACGACTCTAGAGCTTGGTATGATGAAAAAAATAACAAGACCTTCCAAACTGCTGGATGGATCATCTGATTTTGTGCTTACTTACGAGGACAAGGAGGGTGATTGGATGCTTGTCGGAGATGTTCCTTGGGAGTACGTAAACTTCTCTATTACGTGTTACTTTACATTTTTATTTTCATATGGTTTTGCTCGTATGACACTTCATAAACGATTTTCATTCCTTTTTTTCCTGGACTGAAACAAAATGTAGAACTGCCAAGACTTTCACTTTGTACAAATGTGTAAACAGAATCTCAAAACTTATAGTGTTTATTATCTTTTAGCCATCAATTGGTTCAGACTGAAAACCGAGGAGAATGAAAGAAAAAGATAAAAAATATTCATGCATGTGTCTATCCTCTAGTGCCCTCAAAATTATTATAGTCTCTAGAAGAATTGCTGTATATATCTTGGTGCATCATCTTGTTCTGTTTTAAATGTAAAACGAACGGTTCAACTTAGAACTTTGTGAAAGTAAGTGAGAACAACATGAAGAGGCTAAAGGTGCGGTTATTTGCCTATCAGTAACAGAGTAGATATAGAGAACTGTTATCATGGATTAAATGGTGTCTTCTCGTAACACATTGTGAATCTTCTCTTGTTCGGTACAGGATGTTCCTTAGCTCTGTCAAGAGGCTTAGAATCATGAGGACATCCGAGGCTACCGGATTGGGTACCTAGATTCGTATTCTCTTCTAATCATGCTTTCATAGCTTTCAAATCATATCTAAGGTTGCTTTAATTCATAATTTACAGCACCACGGTTGGAAGAGAGGAATCACAGACAAAGAAGTAAACACATCTAGAATGTTGAATATTGTTCTCTCAAGCAATATGGCAACACATGAAACAAAAAAGGGAAGTACAGAATAGTCGAAGCACTTCGACGGAGTAAAGTTCGAACTCCAAAGAATCTCAGGTTTGTTTCTGGTTACTGTATTATTTTGTTACATGTTTTCCTTCGATCTTTCGATTACAGTCTCAAGTAATAGTTACCATACTTACTGAAAGGCACCAATGTATCAGTTTTCAATGCAATATTATATACAAAAGTACCTAGTAAAGTGATGTATTTTTTTGTTGTTGCTGTAAATAACAGAGCCATTTTACTGTAAATTTTTCTCTTTGGGAAGAATTCAGAACTGTTATGTATGGATTGTGAAGAATTTCCAGTTTCCAAGAATTGACCTATTGGATCTTTACCATTAGAAAAACATTTGAGTTTTGACAATGAGAATTAACAATTTCAGCTTCAATGGATTTCAATGTGAACCGGTGACTGCAAGCATTAACAAAAGTACAATGCTACATACGAAGATGAATATAGTTTAGTTTTGGCCGGGAGTTGAGGGCTGCCCTTAAACGTCGCTATTTATTTTATGTTAAGGGGCGAACTTATAAAATTTTAGAGGGTGAAAATAGATATTCAATAGAAAACACTTGAAGTATATGAAAATTTTAAATTTTCAGGGGATGGTTATCCCCGTCAGCCCCTCTCGATCTATCTTTGTTTACAGGTGAAGTGTTAAAAACTTGCTTTTCACTGTTAGACGTATTTCCGCCATTGTTGCTGTAGCTTTTCCTTATGGTTTTGCCTCAGCAAGCATTGTAATGACATCCTTCGTCGAATATCTGTCTTTGGGGAGCTTGGCATTGCAAAGAAGTGCTATCCTAACAACTAAGAGAGTCTCAATGAGTGACTGGCGGATGGCAATCGTGATGGAGATAAGCATGCCCTCGTGCATCTTCGAGAGAGAGTAAAAAATGTTTGGTCAAAAGGTACCGATATAAGCAAACGGTATCAATTCAGCCGTCTAAATGTCAGATCATACTATAAAATGATAATGTTAGTGATCATTTCATTATTTTTAGAATTTCAACGCTAAAAGAAAATTGCTTATACTTCAATGATCATTTATATAATTTACCCTTAAAAAATAATTAATTTTTAAATTTCAAAACAAATAATTTAAATTATACAAGTTTTAAATCAATTCGAATAAATAGTTCAAACTAAATAACTTAGCTAGAATTTAAAATGATCAACTTGCTTTTTTATGGAGAGTTGGGGAAACATTTCATAATCAGCTGTGAACTAGCAAACATTGATCTGTAGAGTTTGAGAAACATTTGACTATGAATTCGCAAACAAACGAGAAAAACAACTTATAGAATAAATAAATAAACCAAACATACATTCCTCGAGTTTCGTAAAGGAATATATATCGGCATTACAATATTTTCTTTCTTAAATGCAACTCAAATGACAACTGAGCCAAAACATCGGATAATGAACTTGCTTCAGTAACTACACAATTGTACCTGTGATACCAGGATCTGTATGTTGAATTTGTTTGGCAGTCCCTAATGAAATAAGTAAAAAAAAGAATCAGGGATGACCTGTGGACCTTGAGAAAAATTAGCCACAATTGAGATTTCTATATGTATATATAATGACTGTAAATTGCTTCCTTTGATCAAGCAGAGAGAAGGATTTATGGTGATGAACCCAGAATAAATGCATGTATCTCATCCCAGCTAGAGACCGTGTATAAAGTGCCAGAAAGCTTTTTCCAATTAGAACAACTATCTTCCACCACCTCTCTCTGTTTCTCCACCAAACCGGAGAACAATGGCACAAAAGAAACGCCAAACTGTTCCCCCAATCGTCTTAGGGTGGGATTTGAACCCATCATGATACCTATGTCTGCTTTGAGCATGCAGAGTAAGTCACCGACCGAGCCTCCAATATAAACTGTCAAGTGCTGGCTATCTTGGTCTCTGTTGTTTAATATGTTATTGAAAGTCTGGAGCTTTTCCATGGGAGACTCTAACTTCTTAATGATTTCCCCTGTGGTGATGGACTCTTCACAAGCTAACTCATTGGAGCAAACATTTAGAGCTTTTACATCCCCTGATAAGAGAATTAGGAGGCGTTAAAAATGCATTACTTTGGAAACTGATGGTCTTTGTATATTCAAGTCATCCTAACACTCACAGATAGCATGGAAGCATGATAAGCAATAAGCCTACTTTGGATATGATTCCTGATATATAATACTGCATTATACACTATGACATCCAAACTCCCTATTTGGCTTGCAATATCTAGTCATCCTTATGTCTAGAGTGTAGACTCTATATCTTTTATCCACCTCTTCAAATTAAATATTAAATATTTGATTTTTTTAATGTGTAATATAGCATGGCTTCAGTGTTCAAGTGATTACCTGTTGAAAATGCCGAACGAATGAGATCCCCACACCAACAATAAGAAAGTACATGCAAAGAAGCAGTGAGATTTTCATTTTTCATGATTCTCCCGATAAACCCTTTACAACCATCTTGAAGGATCAAACCTTGGCCAGCCCTTTTTATATCCTCTTGATTCAAACCCTTAAGTACTCCTGACTGAACCACTCTTGAATTTGCAGCCTTCTCAAAATGTGCAAATTGCTCAAGTGCTTCACAGAGACCTTCATAACTGAAACTTGTTGCTGCACAAGTAAAGAACACAAAATGCTCACTTAGCAATGTCCTCTAAATACTAAAAATTCGCAACAAATTCTCACCAAATCCATGCTAGACTAAAAGATTGGCAGTCATTTATCAAACCTGTCTCGGTTGTTTTGATGCTTTCTATACACTGTTCAAACTCTTCGGTATACCGGGCAGAAAGGACATCCCATATGCTCCTCAAATCGGCAGATGACAACCGAGCAAGTTGGGTTTCAGATCCACCAGAGTCTGCCTTTGGCCTTGTTATGATTGCAATCTCTGCTAATATAGCAGAGGAATCAAAAGCAGCGCAAGTCAAGTCAAAGTCGCAAAATATGAAGAGTTCACCACCCACTGCAGGGTCTAGAGTCCGAGACAAAGGGACCACCGTTTCCTGTATAATTGGTTGAGACGAGAAAAATTCTACTTCCAGTCTCATAGATTGATGGTAGACTTTTTCTATGACATCCAGCTCTTCACCTGTTAAAGTTACACTTAGTGTATCCAGCAGCTCTTCAATTCGAAAAGCATAAGCCTGAAATCAGAATTGAGTAAAGTGATTCTTTTCCAAACAACCAAAGGAAATTTTCTAGTTCAGTTAGCAAAAGTACTAATAATCTGATGTACCTCAAAATTTTGAGAGCAATAATGACCAATCCACTTCTTGTAAATGTGACTGCCGTCATTAGGATCTAGAAGAGCTTGGATCTCTTTATTCATAAAGGCAAAGAGCCTCATGCAAGGTGCAATAGCGCCAAGTGTATAAGCAGCAACTTTTGTCTTCTCAAAAGGGGTTGCAAGTTTACCGGGGACTCTTTCTCCTTCAATTCTACCAGAGGCTGTTGCCAACAAAAAATCCGTATACTTAATAGTTGTATTTGTCGGAATTCTCTCCTCTGGTAGTTCAAAGCCCCATTCCTGCATTGTAGGTCATTGTCAAAAGAGACTAAAAGTAACCGCCACTACATACCTAAATGAAGAATGAAGCGATCCAAGTTAAATTACGTAATCTTATATATGAGGATCTTGGCCTAGATAGTGTACAATTTGTCTATGAATTGTTATCTTATACATTAGTTCTAGGGTTAAAAACTCCACAAGAGCCCATACCAACAAAAAGGAAAATCCACAAGCAATTTCATATTTGCAACATGCCTGTTAAACTATAAATAACAAAGTCGATACTGAACAACTTACATCTATGCATTTACTTAAAGAAAACGAGGCAATTAATCTAACCCATTTACATCATCATTGATGTATAAGGAAAGGTTACATATATCTTTAAGCATATTAGAAATTTTCCTTCAACAACATACGGCTAATTGGCAAGTTAGCAGCATCAAATACAACTAATAAACCTGAAAATTTCCCATGGCATGAGATATGAAGTTTTGAAAAATATATTACTAACACCAATTAGTAATCAATCAGAAACAAATAAAGTGTCTAGTTCGCCACAAACGCCAATTAAAATGTTATTCGTGTTTTTTTCCCTTTTATCCAATGAAAATAGCAATAATGATCGTGAGCAGCGCTAATCCTAAGTATCATAATTTCAAAATAATAATAATAACAACGATTCGTTTTTTATTTTATAAAATGAAACTATAGAAACATCAATAAAGAGGAAAAAATAGCTTACTTGGACGAGAGAGTCGTTTGAATTGAGCTTGCCTTGAATATATTTCCTTAGCTTTCGTATTGCCTGCTTGTCTTCGTCATCATCAGCGCATTCCTCCGCTAATTCATACCTGAAATTTCCCAAATAAATATAATAAACGAAAAAAACTAAAACAACTAGCGTAATGATTAAGCTTTTAGCAGTGATTCGTAGTGACTCACGCGTGAACAAAGGCATTGAGTAAATGAACATGCTGAGAGATATAGTGCTGGAAAGAATCGGCACTTAAATTCCCAGCTGCAACGCAAACGAAGAAAGGAGTGTAATTAACAAACACCGATTCGCTCCTGAATTTGTTCCACAGCTTCCTCGCGATTCCCCCTTCGACGTCCATCCCTCCCATTCCTCGCCGTCGTTTTCGATGAAAAAAAATAACACGGATGATCGGATCGGAAGAGAAATGGTTTATAAGCAAAGAATGAAAGATAAAACAAGGGAAAAGGGAGCAGTTTGTATTGGAGATTTGGACCCAGTAACAAATAAACAAGAAAAAGAGAAGAGATGGTGAATTGATTAATTTATACGTTTGATTTCCTTTAATTATAATTTTCAAAAAATAAGTGTGAAAGAGAGGATGGTGAAGAATTTGATTAGAGGCCGGCGGTCAACGGGAAGGGATACATCGAGATCGAGTTCTCGTGAGAGAGATAGAGAGAGAAAAAGGAGGCTCGGTGACTCAGTCCGATCTGTTTCTTACTTTCTTTCCTCTTTTTCATCGAACAAACTACGGCACATATAATGCAATTTACAGCTCTCTTATACGCGTTTGCATTCCGTATTATTTTTCACGTAAATCGCGTAAAAATAAAAATATCATATACTTTCTTCTATAAATAAATCAAAGGATTAATTGCACTATAAATTTTCAAACTATGCTCAAGAATCTCAAAATTTTTAAATTGGTCCCAAATATTTCTAATTGAAGTTTAAAATATTAATATCACAATAATTGAATTCTTTTTATAAATTTAAATATGACATGAAATATATTTATAATCTCAAATCTATCGTATCTTAGGGATAACTTTAAATTGTTTTTAAGTATTAAAACAACAATCCTTTGTAAATTTCATTGAGATTATCTTTTAACTTTTTTGTTATTAAAAAACATATATAGATAACTACATACTTAAACCTTCTATTTTAATTTACCTAGTTTCCCCCTTTCTATTATTAGTTACAATTTGCTCTCTTAGATTGATATTCGATAAATTTAATTTGATATTTTAAGGCTTAAATTAACAGTTGAGCTAGGATAAGATATAATTGATATAATATTAAACTCCTGAAAATTAAAATTTATGTGATAGTTTTGGGATGTTGGAAGAGATATAAGGGGCAAATAGAAGTTTTAGGTAATAATAAAATGAACTAAAATAAGTGTTGGAAAGGAAAATGAAGTGAAAATCATGGGTCAAAGTTCAAGCATACCGACAATGGAGAGCAACTTGCAAAGAATAATAATATTAGTAGCTTGCTTTCAGCCTTTCACTTTTCTAAAAAGTTCCCTGCTCTTTAATTCTATGTGAAAATTTGGCCTTTACCAATTTACCCCACTCCCAAGTCACAACATAAGTTTTCTTTTTCAAAAAAAAAAAAGTTCAGTGGAAATCGGATTATTCACATATTTAGGTGTTAAAATCGTATTAAATTTATGTTAATATATTTAATTATTAGTTGAGGCTTCGAATATTCATTACTGTGTTTCTTTTCTCGTTTAATAGCTCTGTTTTATATATTTTTATAAATTAAAAATAATTAATTATTTATAAAATAATTAATTATTATGGTTCTTACACGTGTGGAAGAATGGAACACGAATGGGCGATTATTCTTTATTGTGTTGGCGAGGAATGGTTATTTTGAAAGGAAAGGGCAGTTGATATTGAAAGACAGCGAGGTTAAGGTTAGGTCTTAGGAGCCAACTTTACTTGACTCAATCCTTCCTCATTTATTTGTTTAACCCCTAACCCTATCTCCACTCTACTTTTCTTCTTCTTCTTCTTGGTTTAAAGGTCAAAGGTTCCACTTTATTTATTTATTTTTTAAATATATATATATATATATATATATATATATAAGAAATTAAAAACATGTTAAAATTTATTAAAATGCAAAAAAAACTATATGAAAAATATTTAATTTACAAAGGAAAATGTTTAAAATACTTTTGAAAACAAAAAGTAGGTTTGCATAAAATAAAAAGATAATGTACAACAAAAACAACACAACCCGAACATGGAAATCCAAAGGAAATGAAAATTAATAAATCAAAATTTTCTTTCAAATACACGCTTTATCTTCCAAAAAAATTCCAGTAACTATTAATAATCTTCATGTCTTTATTCAAAATTACACACGATATTATGTAAGTGTAGAGATTGAGAAAATCAATCTAAAAGATTGATCCACTAGTGGTTTTGGATGCATCGACAAACAACAACAAATGAAGATTTAGCTATACAAGACTGTCGATCTTTCATGATCAAGAGGTGTGTCATGATTAATGCAAAATAAAACGCCAAACTATTAGAACGATAGATAAAATTGTGTCGTAAAAGCAGATGATCAATCGTAACATAAAAAGCATGTAAAAAACAAATGTTTCAAGAATATGTGAAAAGAAAGAAATCAAAACAGAGATGATGTTTATTTAAATCTACATAAAAAATGATGATCTATACTTTTAAAGAAAAACTAAAGAACTACTGTAAAGAGGACATTAAGGCAACGAAACTTTATATTAATATCATTTTTTGTATGAGATTGATTTATATTTATATATAAAGTTTTATATTTATTATACATAAAATTTATTGAATTTATATATTTTAAAATGTATTGAACCAATTTTATCTTTTTAAAATAAGTAATCTAAAACTAAAATTTTATTTATAAAGACATATCAAATCAAAATATATACATCATATTATACATAAAATCAAAATGAATATATAATTATAAATTTTAACATTTGAAATAAATTTAGGTAACATCAAAACTCATTAAGTGGTTTTAGTGGTAAAAAAAATGTTATTCTCTTCATAGATCATAGATTTTAAAAAAATTGGGTCTGTGCACAAACCAATTTATCTCAGTAGTTAAAGGAATCGTTGTTGTTCCTAGAGGTCATGGGTTCGAGTTCTAGCGATTGCAAGGTTGATTGAACATTTATTGTCAAATAATTAGAAGTACTTAAAACATATACTGACTTAGGTTAATAAAAAATGTATTTTAAAAAACCGAGTCCATAAAATGTATAAACAATATCAACGAATTTAAAAAATTTAAATAAATATTACGTTAAAAATCACCCATACTATTTTAAAAACATTAGGTAACATCAAACCCCATTTAATATATTTCGCAACAATTCCGCCGTGGATGAATATATTTAGATAATGATTAAAAATGGTATAGTTGAGGATAGAATCAAAATACGTAGCTGTCCACCATGACATGGGCTGTCCTATGCCTGAGAGAGTTCCAATGGGGAGAGCCAAGCGAGGATGAAGCCCTCATCAATTTAGCTACTTGTCTTTGTCATACAAAGTTTATTCGTTCATCGCTATCTCGAAATTTGATCGCAATTTCAATCACAAAATATCAGTTTCTTTTTGTAATTTTACTCTGGGTAAATCATTCTGTTCCTCGTCCAATTATTAAAGTCTTTCTATTTTTATCATCAACCTTTTTTAAAACTTCAAAGATTTCTGATCGGTTTCATCATATTTAGAGGTTATTTTTAAAAAGAAAGGGAAGAAATTGATTCATATCACATTAATCACAAATATAAATCGAACGACAATCATTATCTCTCAATAATTGTAACGAGGGGGTAAAGAATAAAAAGAAAACGATCAGGTTCTAGTTTTAATTAAAAAAAAAGATAGAGAAATAAATAATATTACGAGCAAAGTGAGAGAAAAAAGAAGGTTAAATTATTCATATTTATATTTATAAAGGGTAAAACTTATTTTTTTTACGATTAAATTGATAAAATATATATGCATTAGTGACTAAATATATTGTCATGTCACTTATATAAATATCACGTCAACAATCTCTTTAATGATGTAAGGATGAGTGACCAACATGATCAATTACTCCAATGTTAGTGATAAAATTGAAAATTGATTTTAATCATGACCAAATTAAAAATATGTTAAAAATGTAATTTACCCTTTTACTTATATTTCCTTTACTATGTTAACAATTAAGATTTAACTTCTCTATTTTAATTTAACATAATTTGATCCTTCTACATTTATAATGTTATTAATATGTTCAAATTTACAGCAATGTTAATTGCTGTTGGTAAAATAGTGAGACATATTTTTTTAGTATCAATGAAAATTTAATAAACTATATGAAATCAACAATAAATTTATATGTTGAACCCACTGAGTGTCTTTAATAGTAAATGAGAATGTTATTCATTATAGAAGATCCTGTTTGAACGATTGGATTTGCAGTGTGTGCGTGATGTCTTAGGCTAAAAAGATTCTAAACAGATACTATTATATAATCATAAAAAAATATTTTAATAATAATAATAATAATATTTATATGTCAGTAGAAAGAGGACGAAATAAAAAATTTCATGGAGAAACCAAAACTAGAATTAAACCTTTTTCCATTGATCTCAGTTCGAATAATAATGCTTTTGGAGAGGTTCCTTGAGCTAGCCCAATGGCTAAGAGGCAAACAAAGCATATCAAAATGGGCCTTTTATTGATTAATCCACAAGACCTGACCCATTGATTTCCAATCGTTGTGGTTCGTGTCAACTCGGTCTGCATTGTGATTTTTATTTTCAGGGTCTGCATGGCGCATATGACATGGCACAACAACAGGCAAAAAAGCCTATCACTCTCCTCTAATCCAAATTCTCAAAACGAATGGCTCTCCTTTTAACACATCCATCACTCTCAACACACAAGTATCTTCTTTAACTCTCTTCTAAAACCCCCCATCTTCCCCTCTCCCTTCTCAACACTCCCAACAACAATGGCAACTCTTCAGTCTCTGGCTTTGGCCTCTCCTGTCTCTCGCTCTTTGCCCAACCAACCACGCTCTCTCTCAGGCATTTCTTTATTTTTCAACTCCTTTTATAATGTGGTTGCTTGTGTACTCTAATTTCAAGGGTTAGTGGACCATTGGTTCCTTGCACTGGTTTACTTTCCTTTTATGTTTATGAAGATTGAAGAGACAACTCACTGTGAAAAATGACTAGAATTAGGCCATCTCAATTTACTCAGTGCTTTCTCTTGTTCAATATGTATTAGTTTTTGTGTATGTTTAGATTTTGCTAATGAGCTGTATACAGTATACTGATACTCTTAAACATGCTTATTTGCAGCTTTCTGGTAACAAGTTTATTGCATTTAGATGAGTTTGTCTAATGTTTTTTTTAATGTATTGTAGGAATACCATCTTCGGTTGCTCACCGGAGCTCGAATTCGCTTTTTAATGGGCAATCTTTAGGGGTGGCTCGGTCACCATTACCGCCAACGACATGGAACTCTAGGAAATGTGGACCGATAGTAATGATGGTGAAACCGAAAATTCAGTTCATTCAAGGAACTGATGAACAGACAATACCGGATGTGAGGTTAACCAAGTCCAGAGATGGTACAAATGGTATGGCGATATTCAGATTCGATCAACCCTCCGTATTCGACTCATCCGGTGAAGTCGGTGACATTACCGGGTTCTACATGATTGACGAGGAAGGAGTTCTTCAGTCGGTTGATGTAAATGCCAAATTTGTGAATGGGAAGCCTGCAGGGATTGAAGCAAAGTACATAATGCGAACTCCCCGAGAATGGGATAGGTTCATGAGATTTATGGAGCGATATTCCAATGAAAATGGCTTGCAGTTCATCAAAAAATGAGGCAATTATATTCTTCTCTTGCACTATTCCACAGTCATCAGCATTCTTCCTTAGTGTTATGTAATTTTGTTTAAAGTATAACTCCAATGCAGATGCCTATATTGGGTTAGATCCCAATATAGATTTCTTGAAAGTACCTTATTGCGCTTGCATATGCCCAACAAAATTCTGTTTCCCCTTCTTTTTTGGTTTTCAAATCGTTTACTTTGTTTTCTTGTGTGCTAAGATGCTTGCTAGTTCCTTTGATGACTTACTCTGGTTATGTTTATAGAATGTTGGTATCTGATAGAAAATGTTTCAATTTTCCACTGATGACATTTGCCGATGTTCTATTAATCGCTTGTGAAGCAGATTGGTTAGGCATATGAATGTTCTTGGCTGCACTCTAAGTAATAAAAGTGGTTATTATTATTTCTTCACTCTTCATTTTTGATGATGAAGAGCTTTTGCCAATATTTTTGAATTTCTACGCACTTAAACATGTTATATGCTCAACACAAATATTGATATACCATGAATTTTTCCAAGCTATTCCAATGAGAAACTAAAATAAGAACTAGAAAAAAGGTAGGTGGCTGAGCTGTTGCTACTTCCAGGTGACTGAGATCGGACTTCGAACCCTGTGGAAGCTATTGTGAGCATTAATCCATGTCAATCCCCCTTCTGCAAAGCTTATCTTCTTTGTTCGAGTTTTCTTCCTTGATGTTATCCACATTCTGTAATTTAAACTTTGATTGATATGCTTGAATATCAACCTTCTGGGCTTGATGCTCACTTTAACTCCCTCGGGAGACTTCACTTGTACCGAATAAACGGAATAAGGATTCCCCACATTTGTCAGTCTCCTTGTGATCAGCTTACTCTTCATTCCCTGCTTGAAAGCCACTGATATGGAAGGGTAATTGAGGCTGAAACCCCTGTTCATCTTTAAAATCCCACTGCAACTAACATTCCTATGTGTGATTGTAAAGATTTCTGATCTTGTGTATCCAAGGGTGCAAAGATGAATAACATATTCATCTGGCCTGATATCATAGATCAATCCCGGATCGATGGCTCTATTGGGGTTTACATGTCCAGCTCCAATGGCAAAGACAGCAGCTGGTTTGTTGCCATCCATTATTGGTTTTCCCCTATGGTCGTTTGCATCAGCTGATGTCATAATTGCAGATTTAATGGCTGCCGGAGTCCATCCTGGGTGTGCCGAGTGAATGAGAGCTGCGATGCCGCTAGCATGAGGGCATGCCATGGAAGTACCAGACATGACAGTGAAATTAACTCTTCTAGTATCTTCTGGAAGGCCAGTGGGACCTAAGTTTTGAGGCCAAGCAGCAATTATATTAACCCCTGGAGCAATCACATCTGGTTTGAGGATTGAAGCATCGTATAGGTTGGGCCCTCTGGCTGAAAACTGTGCTACTTCTGGTGCTCTTGACCTTCCTACAACAGTTCCACCAAATATGATTCGAGCTCTCGGATGACGGGTAGTGTTCATGTAAGTTTTTAGACGCACTGCCTCTTCATAACCGATCTCAGTTGCCGGTAAGACTTGAGCATCAACTGAGTCTTCCTCGAGGTTTATCTCTGTATTGGCTAATATCATGGCAGCACCACCTGCTTCTTTGACTGCTACACCTTTTTCTGCCCTTCCATTCACACCTCTGTCACAAACCACCATTTTGCCTTGTACTTTTGCCTTTGGAAGAGACCCTCTGAAGCAAAATTCGCTTCCACTGTTTCCACCAGTGACATAGACCAGTTCAAGTTCCTTTTCGGCGCTTGGTAACCGTTTCCCTGGGAACAAAGATTCACCATACACGTATTCTCTGTTGCCCATACGAACTATCGCTGGAAACTTCCGGTCAAGTGTGCCAGCACCAATGGTAGCAATCCAAGGAGCTATATTGGCAACTGAGCTTTGAAGTGGGCCACTGTTACCTGCAGCACAAATCACTGATATCCCATGCTCGACTGCTCGGAAACTGCCGATAGCTATGCTATCATCAAAAAGTGGCAACGGGAAGCCACCTATAGATAGCGAAAGCACATCAACCCCATCCGCAATCGCAACGTCCATTGCAGCTAGGATATCAGAACTGTAACAGCCGTTGAACCAGCAAACTTTGTACACTGCAATGTGGGTTCCAGGAGCCATTCCACGGGCCACACCGGCACCGTTACCAAGCACACTTGCCATTGGAACAGAAACTCCTCCGGCTGTGGATGATGTATGAGTCCCATGCCCGGAGGAATCCCTGGGTGATATATACTCATCAACCATGTTTGCTGATGGGGACGCTGAGGAAACATGATGACCTTTTATAAAGAACCTTGCACCAATGAGTTTTCGGTTACAACTCGTGGCCTTGAAATTCTGCCCTTCTTGGCATATCCCTCTCCACTTTTTCGGAACAAGTGGCATTCCGTCATCGGCGAAACTAGGACTTTCGGGCCAAACACCGGTATCAAGCACCCCGATAATTGTTCCACGACCGAATCCGGATTTAACCCACGCACCATTTGAACTGTTGCCAAGTCCCAAGAACTTGTAAGAGTAAGTGGTATGAAGCTGATGCAGCCGGTCGGGTCTAACAGCAACAACATCAGGCAAACTTCGCAACGACTCTAGTTCAGTTTCACTCAGCAGAGCTGCAAACCCTTCAATGGCGGAACCATAAGAGTAAAGGAGACGAGAAGAAGGGTCTTCCTCGGAGGAAAGCGTTTGTTCGAGAAACGAGAGATGCCAATGAGGCTTAGTAGGAAACAAGGAGCTGGTTACACCTTGTGGGTGCAACTGAACAATGTAAGTCTGCAGAGTGTCTCCATATACGGAAACCAAACAGACACAAAGAGCAGAGAAGAAAAGCTGTATTTTGGGTTCCATGGAGAAGAGACTGATACTTGGAATCTGATGATCTTGCAGCGGATCCGGGGGGGTATTTGAAGGTGGAGAAGAGAGTTCAAACATGGAAACGGGAACATGTTTGAGGTCTGGGTATGAATATGAAACTCGTGAAACATAAGAGCTCTTCCTCACGAGAATCCTTTGTTGTGGCAGAGAGAGAGGAGGCTCTGGGTTTTCTTGGAGGAGCTGAAAACACCAGGCTCTTGGCCTCACGAGATGTTATGCTTGATTTTAATACATTCCCAGAATTCTAAAACTAAAACCATGGTTTTACTTTGAATATCTTCAAACATCATTCCATCCCATCAGTTTGTTTAGTCTCCTCGAACGGAATTTTTTTTTTTAAAAAAAAAGAAGAAAAAAGTGTGAGAAAGACGTCGATAAATCGCCATTAAATGCTGGCTCAAGTGCATTAATGCAGACGCCTTCATCGGCCTCCCCCTTGCCCTGGAGTGTTGTTTGAGCTCTCTAACTTCTTTTATTTTATTATCCTTCCAAATTCAAACAGCAAGTAATATGCTAAGTTCAAACTGGAATCCAGTAGAATAATGTTTTGGATTCTTGATCTGGAAAAACAATAAATGCCGAAATATGTGAATAATCAACATTCAAAGGGAGGGGTTACGTGTTGTTGGATCGGATAAGAAAAAGCTTTTTGAAATAAGCGTGCGTGGGAATGGCAGGTAAATTTACGATGGGAAGGAACAACGAATGCTAATTCCGGACGGATGGTGGAGCACGGGTGGGCAGTTCGTCTCTTAAAAATTTTAAACTAAAATATATTTTATATTTCTTTCCTAATAAATTTATAAATTCGTTCCAAAACCCATGATACAAGTCCAAGAATTGGGAAAATATGGGCCTAAAGCCATGTCATTCGTATGGATGGATGGGATCCATTTCATTTTAGCACTAATTTAGACAATGATAAATATAGATTTTGTGAATGGTGGGGCGGAAATGAAGGTAAAAATTAAATTAAATTTGTTTTATATAATAAAATAATCGTAGATATAATTTTATATTCATGTTATCCTCTTTGATTCTTATATATATATATATATATATATATATTGTTGGGGCAGATATTATATGAGAACAAGTACAATTACGTGAAAAAAGAAAAGGTTGCACCTACAAGAAATTTCCTAATTCGAGAAAAAGAAAACAAGGGCCTAAATCAAGTATAAGGATTGGAAAAATAGGGTGCCTAAACTCATGTCATTTGTATGTAGGTAAATTAGTGAGACAGATTTTTATAGGGACCTGTATCATTTAATAGTCCATTGAATAAGGATAGATGAGTTTTGTGCATGATTAAACGAAGATAAAAATAAAAATTAGATCCTTCATGAATGATGAGACAAATGTGAATATGATCGTATACTCATTTCATCCTCACTCGTCTCGTCTCATACCCACTTGTTTCGTCATTCGTTTTGTCTCATTCCTACTTGTTTCGTCATTCGTCTCATTCTCATTTGTTTCGTATTATTATTTGTATTTAGATATTATAATAATTTTTTAAATATTTTTAAAATTATATTTTAATTTATATATTAAATAATTATGATAATTTGTTAGTTTTTCGAATGATGATAATCGAAATATTGTTACATATGTGATGAAAGCTAAAAAAAATAACATATATTTCATTTTTTTTATATAAAAAATAATTCCTATTTAATTAATTAATATTTGTAAATATTATATAAAATAAATATAACGGGAATCAAGTAATGTGAGTGGCAGAACAGAAAAGAATTTGACCTTATAAATCGTGAGATGAAAATAGTTTTATATTTTATATCTACGGAAATAAAGACGAAATTTCTTATTAGAAATAAATGAAGGACATCCACCCAATTAACATGACCAACCTTCCTGTTTGTATGTTCATTAACCAAGCAAATAATGAATAACATTTCCAAAATGTTTCTTCCTGAAATTTATTGAACAAATACTTATTATTTCTTGTATGCATTGATACTAAAGGAACATTAAGCAGAAAATACTGACATCTCAGCCAAAATAAACATCACAAAGAATCTAAGCAAATACACAAGCAGGAAATTTTATGTTGGTCGGTGCATAAAATATGTATTATATATATGCAGGAGCGTGGCTGAGGGTGTGCAAAGTACGCGACGGCGCAGGGCCAAAAAAATAAAAGTCCCGAAATCGAGTATATCTATTAATTGTTGCCATTAAGAAACATAAAAATAGGTATAGAACAGTGATTAGATCATTGGACCCATGACTTTATTGATCCTAAGTTTGAATCTCGTTAACAAGAAAAATTATTTTTTGGAAAAACAATACAAGTGGGTTTGCTCAGTGTAATACAGCTGTAAATTTTTTATTATTTCAGAAAAATACGTTCGAGATCTAAGGACTCATTTATAAGAATTTGCACAGGACCTCCAACAACCTAGCCACGCCCTGTATATATGTTTTGGTTTAAAACATGTCTTCTGGCCTGATATGCTGAGTGATAACAGCTATAGTTGATGCACACGCAGGCCCTTACAAGGTTATACTTGCAAGCCACCAAACCCAAAACATGAACTCTTTGCTTTTAAACTCTGGAGACTGCATTAACTTGTACTTATCATCTGTTCATTCTTCCAAGAATTTTTCGCAGCTTCAGCAGGTTGATCTCTCTGCTCATCCTTTGGTTTTGAGAAGAAAGGATCCCATTCATGAGCTCCGGCCTCTCGTTGTCCTTCATCTAACAAATCATATTTCCAACTATTTTCCTCCACAAAGTTATCGTATTCCGTACGACCTTGGATAATGTTCCTCCTCAACCTTGTTACTTTGTCGATGACTGCCTGTACAGCAACATCAAAAGCATCTCGAAGAGTCTCCAATTTAGAGCGAGGATCCACATATACTAGCCTGGGAATGAGATTTATGACTGTCTCTCTCATGATCTTCACTTGCTCAGGAGATATTTGATTGAGTCTCTCTTCAATGCTAACATTTCTCTTACGAATATCATCCTCGGGGATGAACACTGAGTATGTAGTATAATCTTTGGGGAGATGCCAAGTGTATTGTGTGTATGCCGACCCAGGATGGAAGAAGACGGGAATACAACCAGCCAACATTGAGTCAAAAGCAGATCGCCTTGTGTAAGAATCTCCTTGAGGTTGTAGGCAGAACAAGGAGCTCTGGAACATCTGCATTATACTGCTGGGTGAATGACATTTGCTCTCCCCAAAATCACATTCCAACAACTTGCACACCTTTGAACTCCTACACTGATCAATAATCTGGCCTCTTATTGACTTGAGATTACCAGGACGTGGTGCACCTGCAAAAGAGAATAGCCATTTCCTCTCCAATTTTCTCATCCGATCTTGCCAGACAAACACTTCCTCGTCCTTTGCAGGATGGAAGTAGGTAGGATATGGAATGCCAAAATCATTTGCATTCCAGGGGCTTGACTCAACCACAAGCATAGACATATTCCTTGCAGCAGGTAAAAACAGAAGCTTATTACCCCAATCAGATTCCTCATCGCTCAATCTCCTGAAATCCCACGTAATCCTACCAGCCACAAGGAAATGATCCTTCCCTCCCATTATTCCCCACTCAGGCCTCTTCATCAGCCAATCAACCAAATCAAGCGAGGCTGCATCCCTTGCTGAGATATTATAACCCCAAAGATACCTTGCAATATCAAACCCCGCATAAAATGGCACAAATATTGCAGCTGCGATCGAGGAATCATTGGTCAAGCACTCATACTGCTTCATCCGATTACTGAATATCACATCGACTGCAAACTGATTTGTAGCATACCAGCCAGTATTCTCAAACACCCCTTCCACATTCTCGAGTGGAGGACCAAGCCCTTCATTACTAGTAAACTTACACATATTAGTCCAAAGACTCAAACTCCTACACTCCTTAAGCATATCCTCATTAAATCTTGGAGGAAGTTTATGCACATAAATATACCTTCCACCGCACGGATCGCTCTTATTCTCCGCTGTTCTCAAAGCTCTCATAAATGGGTAAGCCACCACCTTTTCATCAGCCGTATTCTCGCCAATTTTTACAGGTGCTGGTTTCTCCTCCTCTACATGAACATCAGTCACCCGAGCAGGCACGGACTCCACCTTAATGTAAGGAGATTCAAATTTTACAGGTTTTGATGCAACAGAGTCCTCAATTGTAGGGCTACTTCCTAGAACTACAAAATGGAAATACAAAAGCAAAATCCAGAAAAAAACTGATAAAGAAGCTAAAAAGCAGAGCCGGGTTCGTTGACTGTTATGGGGACCCTTCTCCATTGCGTCGAAAGGACCCAGCGCCACAGGGCGGCGTCTCATCAGAGTTCAATCGCAAGCTGATCAAAAGAACCCGCATAAAAAGAAACCCAACTTTCTCACTCGATTTCAAATTACTAATCGAAAATAAGAAAAAATTAAAACCGCAGAACCCTAAATCTCAATTATAAGCTAAAAAGAAGGCTACAGTAAGACCTAAGCTTGGACCAGAGATCCCAAAGGGGAAGCAAAAAAGTAGAACATTAGAACTGAATAAATACACAAATGCTACAGAAATTGAATCTATAGTAATTATCGACAAAGAACAAAAAGCGAAATTTGGAGTTGAGAGCAACGAATGCATATAGATTTATAAGCAAGAATCATGACATACCAAAAATGAGAGATTTTCGGGGATCTTGATCTTGTAATGGATCTACGTTGGCTAAATTTATCCACTAAATTGAACTGAAATGTTGAAGAGAAAAAAAGATAGAACTTACCAGGAATTTTCCTGGAAAATATTTCGACTGTGAAAGGGTGGGGAAGACAGAGCGCGCAAATTAGTAGTGTGAGCCGGGGGACTATTTGTCTGTTGTCCGTATTGGCTGGGATCTCGCCACGTGGAACCATATGGTGACGTGTTTGAAAACTGAATACTGTCAAATTCCTTAAACTACGTTTGCATGGATGTAAATTGGAAAGTGGGTCAATGAAACGGCTGGATTTAATTTCAGGAACGAAGTTTCATCGCCTAAGAAAGATAAAAAATTTACTACTTTCAACTCACAATTTTTTTTTTAAAAAAATATTAATAAAAACTTTTACCCACCTTTTTTTTAGATTATTGACATTTATAATTGATTTTTTAAAAAAGTAATTTTTATTATTTCTTATGTTCAATTCAAATAAAATAATTGATCAATATAAAATTAGTTACAAATCAGCAGAATTTTATACACTAAATCTGTAAAATAACTTATTATATACTTTTTGATAAATCATTTTGTCGCAACCGTCTTTCGGTTGGGCCCCGAAATTGGGCTTCGACTTGAAAAATGTGGATTGGAGTCGCCACCGATCATTTATTTAAAAATAAATGGGTTGATCGGATACCCTATTTCTTACCTGATCTGCGTCTTACCAGAAATATGTCGGGTTCGGGAGTCGGTTACGGTCAAGGAAGGATTAGCACCCTTGAACCGCCCTTTCGGTACTACGTAATTTCCAGTTGTCTTAATTAAGAAAAATAACAAGTTAAATTAAAAGGTAAAGTTTCGATCCTAATTACTTACCCTTGATTGATTTGAAAAAAAATCGAGAAATGTGTTAGATAAACAAGGTAAAGAAAACAAATAAGATACAAGGGAAAAATAAAATAAATAAAATAAGTAAGTAAGATAAGAAAAAATAGTAAAGTAATAATTATATATAGTAATATTTGAAAAAAGGAAAAATATAAATATATATATATATATATCAAAGTATTAATAAAATAAATAAGCTATATATGTACACCAAATACTTAAAAATAGAAAAGCTACCCTCCCAATTCACCGAAAATGGAGGGCTCTAGTAAGAAATAAGACAAAAAAATGGGCCCTCTAGGTTAGTAGTATATAATATAATGTTTAATAATGATAATGATAAAGACACAAGGTTTTTTTTAAAAAATAATAATATAATAATAATGAATAATAAAAAAAACGAAAATAATAAAAAATAATATAAATATATAAAGTTATAAGATATATTACATAAATAAAGAAATAATCAAATAAAAATAATTAAGAATATATATATTTAATAATATGTATATAAATAAACTATTAAAAGTATAAAAAATATATACGACTAGATAAAGATAATTTAATATATATATAGTAATATTAGACTTATAAGTAAAATATTAAAGAAATATATATATAATAATAATAATAAAATATAGTAAAAAATCAAATGAAAATAATTTAATATATATATACATATAATAATAATAACATGAATAATAAAAATAAATGAATAAAATATCCATATAATAAATAAAGGGACTAATATAGATTTTTAAAATGCTCTTTCCCTCCTTTAACCGAAAATTAAACCGGTTTTTAAAAATAAGCCTCGGGGTAGATCTAGGTTCGAAACTTCGAAACCCCACCCATTTTGGTCATCGGCGCAACCCACGTTTTGGGTTATTCGAACCAAATCTCAAGAAAAATAACGTGCACATGCAAAAGAAAGAAAAAAGAAAATGCTACCTTTTATTTCATTTTCGAATCCTTTACAATAGCTTTGCCTTTGTATCTTCCCGTGCTTTTCTCTATGTTTTGTGTATAAATCGTGTCTTACAATGGTGAGTTATAATAGCTATTTATAGTGATTGTGGATCATATCTTTAGGAATTTAAATATAGTAGAACTCTATCCTATTTTTTGAATCCTAGCAAAATTCTATCCTATCTTTAGGAGTTTGAATTCTAGTAGGACGAAAAGGTGTGTTGACAGCTGCCCCTCTTTGCCCATAGTCGTGTAACGGGGATAGGGCAAAGATTAAAAGACACACTTTTCGTTCGGTGGAGTTGAAAATTGACTCTGATGTTTCAATAACTCCCTGTCGAATTGAGTTACGGATAACTCCTCCGTCGTGAAGTCGTGTTCATCTTGGAATGATATGAAATTGAAGCCGTAGTTCGGAATTTGAATCAAAACGTGGCTTCTCGTTGCCCTTCGGTCTTCTTCTCGGTTTAAAGACCTTGGATCGGAATCGAACTCAGAAATCTTCATTGACATATAGCTTTTGTTTGAAAATGGTTGCTTGTCACTAAGGCACGGTTAACCCAGGTCCTCTTCTCGACTTGAAAACATCGACTGCAACCAGAAAGTAGTGCGATTGATGTGTCATCGAGCTGAATGGAATCGAACTCGACAATTTTGATGGCAGATAACCCTTCTAGCATTGAGTTATGCTGTAAATGATGTGCCTTGGAGCTGAGCGTAGTCGAACTCGAAGGTCTTTGTTGACATATACTCCCTTTTTGAGTTGGATATCCTTCGCCGTGAAGTTGAAATCCAATCTAAAGATGGATGATGCTTGTGTGCAAGATTCCCTTCGTCATGAAGTTGAGCCTGAAATTGGATATCCTTCGTCGTGAAGTTGAAATCCAAGTAAGTAGCATTGTTCAGAGTCCAATATCCTCCGTCGTGAAGTTGAAATTGAATCTGAATGAAATTTTGTTGACAAGCAACGGTCCCTTCGTCGTGAAGTTGAACTTGCGTTGTCTGGAGTCCAATATCCTTCGTTGTGAAGTTGAAATTGGCCCTGAGATTGGGAAGTTGTTGTTGACAAGCAGCGGTCCCTTCGTCGTGAAGTTGAACTTGCATTGTCTGGAGTCCAATATCCTTCGTTGTGAAGTTGAAATTGGCCCTGAGATTGGGAAGTTGTTGTTGACAAGCAGCGGTCCCTTCGTCGTGAAGTTGAACTTGCATTGTCTGGAGTCCAATATCCTTCGTTGTGAAGTTGAAATTGGCTCTGCGATTGGGAAGTTGTTGTTGACAAGCAGCGGTCCCTTCGTCGTGAAGTTGAACTTGCGTTGTCTGAAGTCCAATATCCTTCGTTGTGAAGTTGAAATTGGATCTGAAATTGAGAAGTTGTTGTTGACAAGCAGCGGTCCCTTCGTCGTGAAGTTGAACTTGCGTTGTCTCGAGTGCCACGATATCCTCCGTCGTGGAGTTGAAATCGCGGATGGCCCCTTCGTTGTGAAGTTGAGCCTTGACTTGAATATCCTTCGTCGTGAAGTTGAAATCCAAGTATTGTATGTTGCGGGTGGACACAATTTCCTTCGCCATGAAGTTGAAACCGTGGAGACCCCTTTATTGTGAAGTTTGGCTTCGAGCTAGATATCCTTCGTCGTGAAGTTGAAATCCACTCTCGAGCAAATTGTGTCGCTTTGAGTTCAATATCCTTCGCCGCGAAGTTGAAATTGACTCTAGCTAAAACCTGAAAAAGTTATGCATATATGTGATGCTATGGATGCAATGCTCTTAGGTGTGCCTAAAATGCATATGCAACATATGTTATCTTGGGGCTCTGGAGAGAAATCTCGATCTCCAGTTGCCTGTCTGGAAACTTGATTCTTGAATCTTCAAATTTTGATCCCTGATCTTGAATTCTTCAAATGTTCAAATCTGATGTGCACATTCTATTTTTGATTTGAGAAATGCTTCTCGACCATCTCAAGTATGTGCCTGAGCTGAGTGTAACGGTTCAGATGATGCTTTAAGAGAAGTTGTCTTGAAAGAGATAGAATTCGTTTCAAGGGAAATGATCTCAAAGATATATGTTGTTTCATGAGAAACGGTCTCAAGGGAAACAAAATTATGTTTTAAGGGAAATAAATTTGAAGATTTTGTGTTTCAAGAGTAACTGTCTCAAGATAGACGAAATTTGTTTCAAGAGAAACTGTCTCAAGAGAGACAAAACTTAGTTCCAAAAGAAACTGTCTCAAGGGAGACGAAATTTGTTTCAAAGAAAACATATTCAAATATTTTGTTTCAAGGGAAACTATCTCAAGAGAGACGAAATTTATTTCAAGGGAAATGTTTTCAATGTTTATGTTTCAAGAGAAACTGTCTCAAGAGAGACAAATCTTGGTTTAAGAAAAACAATCATGAGTGAAATAAATCTTCTTTCGAGTAAAACAGTCCCAAGTGAGACAAAGTCTGTTTTAAAAAAGCAATCTCAAATGAGATAATCATCTGCATTAAATGACACTGTCTCAAGCGAGACAGAATTTATATTGGAAATGTCAAATCTGAAAATGAATGTCGATCTTTCTATCTGTCGATTTGGTTGAAGTGTAGCTTCTTGCTGCTGAGCTAAACAACCGACATCAATCTGTAAAGGTGCTTTTGAATCGAGTATCCTTCGTCTTGAAGTCGAACTTGACTCTAAAGCTGTAAAAATTATGTACGTGGAAAGAAAATGATAGATATGATGCTCTAAAATATATGCATAAGATGCATGTAACATGAATTGGTTATATTTTATCTCCTGAAAAAGGTCTGATAATTTGCATTAGGATGTTGAATCCCCAAATATGCCCCAATATCAAAAAATACCCCAATATTTGATGTTGAATCTTCAAAGATGCCCCAAATGTTCCTCATTTCTTGCTTCATCATTGATTCTGAGCACGAGCTTTATGTCTAAGAGTCACATGTCATTTACCAAGATCCACTCTAGAGAGACTGTCTTGTTTGAAAAAAAATGTTTTTCTTTCTCTTTTATTTTCAAAGTTATGAAAATATCAATTAAAAGAGTTTTGAAAGATGTTTGATCTAAAGTTTTGAAAATATTGTCACTTTCA